GCAAAATTGCCATTATATTGATGAYATACTATAAATAAATTATCTTCTTGATCTGTACTGTCCAATATGGTAGCCAGTGGCCACATGTGGCTACTGAGCACTGGAAACACAGCTTGTCCAATTAAGGTATACCTTAAGTGTAAATTACCCATTAGAGTTTGAGGATTTAGTACAAAAAAAGAGAATGTAAAAAATTTAGTTTTTAATATTAAACTTGAAAAAATATTGAGGGTATACTGGTTTAAATAAAATACTTAAAATTAATTTCACGTGTTTCTTTTCATATTCTTAATGTAGAGATACTAGAAAGATTTTTCAATTATATATAGTAGTCCCCCGTTTGGTTTTGTTCTCTGCAATTTTAGTTACTTGCATTCAACCAATACTGGCAGGGGAGAGAAACCACATCCATATAACTTTTATTAGAGCATATGGCATAATTGTTCTGTTTTATTATTAATTTTACTGTACATTTATGTTTGTATAAAGAAAAAAAGAGCATCCATAGGGTTGCTACTATTTGAGGTTTGGGTATCCACTGACAGTCTTAGAGTGTAATCCCTACAACTAAAAAATACTGTACATGGCTCACATTGTAGTTCTACTGACAGAACTGCTCTAGAGAAACATGGATAGTTTCTGATGGGACAGTAAATATGTATTAAGAAACAAAGGTTTTAGATAACTTTTATTACAATTTCCTATGACAACTTTTTACATACTGGTACCTTCTCAGGAGCACAGGTAGAAAAGCTGTTAACACAAACCAACACTGTACTCTTATAGGCAAGTGCTGTACTACTGAGCCACAACAACAGCCCCTCTACCCATTCTTGCTTCTTATAGCTGCTGCTTTCCTAAGAAGTTCTAGCAAAGAACTTGGTTCTAACAGTTAAGACTTTTTAGGGGATAAATTTTCTGAATGGACAAATAAGGTCAGACAGGGCATGTCCAACAGCTGGTTGAGAGCAAGGGTGGAAAAGAAAGAATGGACTACGGTTGATCCTGGAGTGAGTTTAAGGAAGTTTCCTAGAAAGGTATCTATTTCAAGAGTGAACTCCTAATCAGCGTAAGCCCTGAATCTCATTACTTGCACCCATATTCAGTGGGCATTTGCCTCTGGTCATTGGCATCACCAGGTGTCACACCCGATCAAGCAGATTCTTCTCTGTATCTTGGGTGACTCATTTGGTAACTAGGGTACTGTTATGCAGTACAGAGTCACTAACATGTATTTGTGAAGCAGCTGAAATGTGGCTACTGTGGCTAAAGAGATTTCATTAGTTGAATTCAAGTTCAGCCACTTGTAGCCACTACAGGTCTAGAATCTTGCTTGCTACTTCAAGAGTGTAGAGACCAACAGCATGTCTACCCTCTGGGAGTTGGTTAGAAAGTATTTCAGATTCTAAGATTTCCTGAAATATATTCTGCAATTTATGAAAACTGACAAGTGATTCCAAGTTTGGAAAGAACTTATCTATAGTAGGGGATCGTAATCTGAATACACTGAAGCTCCACTTTTTTTTTTTTTTTTTTTTTTTTTGGTGCTAGGGATTGAACCCAGGGCCTTGTGCATGCATGGCAAGCACTCTACCAACTGAGCTATATTCCCAGCCCTGAAGCCTCTTAAATTCTAAGGGATCTGTGAGCAAGTGTTGCATACACTCCCCACTTTTCTTCCTCTGGAGACAGTGTCCATATTTCTTTAGTATTCATCATCCAAAATTAAGCAGTCCTATCCTATAGGAATATAGCCCCACAAAGTGAGAAAGCAGATTCCATTGAACAAAGAGCACTTTCTTTTCAAGAAATGAAGTTTAGAATATGAACATACTCATAATCCCTCTACTATGCTTAACTTTTTCATGTCTGAAACAAAAATGGTTTACACTACCAATCTGTTTGTTTTTGTACCAGGGATTGAACCTAAGGGCACTTCACCACTGAGCCACATCCCCCACCCTTTTTATTTTTTATTTTGAGATAGGGTTTGTTTAGGTCAGCTTTTTTACTACTGCAACTAAAAGACCTAACCAGAACAACTGTAGAGGAGAAAAAGTTTATTTGGGAACTCACAGTTTTAGAGATCTCAATCCATAGACAGAAGGCTCTATTCCTTGGGGCTTGAGGTGAGACAGAACATCATGGCAGAAGAATGTGGCAAAGGGAAGCAGTTCACATGATGATCAGACAGCAGAGAGACTTCTCTACTTCCCAGCTACAAATATATACTCCAAAGCTACATACCCAGTCCCCACTTATTCCAGCCATACCCCACATACCTTCAGTCAGCACTCATTTAATCCTATCAGGTGATTAACTCACTGATTGGGTCGAGACTCTAATAATCCAATCATTTCTCCTCTGAACCTTCTTACATTGCCTCACACATGAGCATTTGGGCAACACATCACATCCAAATCCAAACAGTCTCACTAGGTTGCTTACAGCTTTGCTAAATTGCTGAGGTTGGCTTCAAACCTGTGATCCTCCTGCCTCAGCCTCCTGAGTCACTGGAATTACAGGCGTTCACCACCACACCCAGCTCCTCATCTGATTTGCTCCAAGAAAGTACATATACATCAGCATAAACTGACATATATACACACATATATTTGCTATATATGTCTGTATATCCGTACATATCTAGATATACATATACACATAGGCATATGTATACAAATACATATACATATACATACACACATTCTTTTAAAAGTACAAATTGGCCACAAAATTAAAAATATATTCCACTAAAAGTATCATTTTGTGCTAATCTATACTACCTGGAGCAAATGCTAAAGTTTCAAGTACTAATATAGTATTGCAGCTACTACCAATTTTTTGGTTGATTCTAAAATCAACCATATTTTTTTTTTTTTTTTGGATATGGGGTCTTGTTATGTTGCCCAAGATGGCCTTTAATCCCTGGGCTCAAGTGATCTTCCTGCCTCAGCCTCCTTAGTATCTGGGACTACAGGTGCCTGCCTAGAAATTTATTTATTTATTTCTTAATGAGTACAATAGCTATATATCTAGTTATTACCTATGACATGAAACCATGAAGATTCCAGAATCAACCAAGTTTTTCTTTTTTAATAAGTACAATAGATGTCTAATTAGTACCTATAACATGAAATCACAAATAAAAACATTGCTTGATTATCTACCTAACTTTTCTGTGAGGAAATTTTTATTTGGCGGGAGTGCTGGGGATTGATCCCAGGGGTGCTTAACCACTGAGCCACATTTCCAGCTCTCTTTTAGTATTTTATTTAGAGACAGGGTCTCGCTGAGTTGCTAAGTGCCTTGCTAAATTGCTGAGACTGGTTCTGAATTCGTGATCCTCCTGCCTCAGCCTCCAGAGCTGCTGGAATTATAGGCATGCACCACTGCGCCAAGGAGGAAAGTTTTAATTATGCTAAAAATTAATGCTCCTTTATTATATCCTTTAAGCAAAAATTTAGGCAGCTATAACACTTTTATGTAGGATGAGGCTGCTGTCAGGTTTTGTAAATTTACCTTGGAGAAACTTCCTCCCATTGTTAACAATGAAAAATGTCCTGACTTCTATGCGAAGGTGATGACTTATTCCGTACTAAGTCCCTTGAGTTAGAAAATATGTCCCCAAGGCTCAAAAAGGAATGAAGAATTAACTTCAAATCATAACTTTTCCACTGGTGTTTAAAATAAGACATGCAGAAACGGATAATTTGCTAATGTAGCCAGTAAAATTAACTTATTACATGACACATAGGATTTACCAGATGAAGAAACCACATTTGACCTCACTTTTTTTTTTTAATGTTGATTTATAAATGCAGGATCTGCTGGATACACTTCGCAATAGGAAGACTTAGATATTCTTCATAAATAATTTTCAATAATCATTCTGACAAAAGATAGGAACTGGATATTACTGGAAAGCACAGACAGAACCACTATACATTTAATAAATTAAGCTTTTTGTAGAACAAGAGTCTCTAGAAATCGGCCAGATAAAAGGATAATTTTACCGTGGCATTTCCAGTCCTTTAACTTTGGCAGTGTGGTGGAGGTCATTAAAAGAAAAGGGCTAAATGAATTGTTTGTTCTCAGTCTTCTTTCCATCACCAGAAAAAGGAGAAATGTCATCACACTGCATGTTCCTGATATGACAGGTCTTCTCTATTCCTTTCTTTTCTATTCCAGAAAGCATATTGGCAGGTGAGGGAGTGATACCACTGGAGGCATAATATTTAGTCCAGTCTAACAGTAAGTCAGTTGGTCATGCCATTTGATGTCTTTTATTTGTTTATTAAACATTTTTTTTTTTTGGTACTGGGGATTGAACCCACCGGCTCTTAAACACTGAGTCACATCTCTAGTCCCACTTCCTTTTCTTTAATTTTTTTTTTTTTTTAGTTGTAGATGGACACAATACCTTTGTTTTATTTACTTATTTTATATGGTGCTGAAGATCAAACCCAGTGCCTCACACATGCTAGGCAAGTGCTCTACCACTGAGCCACAACCCCAGCTCCTCTGCCCCAGCCCTTTTTATTTTTAATTGGAGACAGGGTCTTCCTAAGTTGCCTAGGGCCTCACTAAGTTGTGAGGCTGGCTTTGAACTTGCAATTCTCCTGTCTCAGCCTCCCAAGCTGTTGGGATTATAGGCATGTGCCACCGTGCCTGGCTTGATAGTTTTTTATATTATTCTCAAATCTCACACCTGATCAAGACACACTTTTGTGTTAACATCATTTTTAATTTTTTTTTTTAGTCGTATATGGATTCAATGCCTTTATTTGTTTTTATGTGGTGCTAGGATCGAACCCAGTGCCTCATACTTGCAAGGCAAGTGCTCTACCACTGAGCTAAACTCCAGCCCCCATTTGTTATTTATTTATTTAATTTATTTTTTTAATTGTCGATAGAGCTTTATTTATGTGCAGTGCCTCAACATGCTAGGCAAGCACTCTACCACTGAGCCACAACCCTAGCCCTGTCAACACCATTTCTAAGGCTCTTTCATTCACTTAGTTTCTTACCTTTAGTCAGGGACAAAATTCTCATTTTCATTTAGTTTTATGCATTTATTTATTTACATAATCAGTAAAAAGGAGTTTTTAAAAGTATTTATAACATTTGACTCTAGAAATGACAGGAAAAAAAACTGATACAATTATGCTAAACAAGTTTGGAAAGGCATATTTATCTTTCACACCAGAGAAAAGTTTTATGCAATGCCAGAAATGTAAATACCTAAGCAGTTAATGACAACGGGTAAACGCTGTTAGAAGGAGCCCTTGTAAAATTTAGAAGTTTTCTTCTGTGACATTATTTATTTTTGAGCAAATGCCAATCTGGTGGAAAGAATTCTGAACATAAAAAGGCACCTAGAGTAAAAAGTAGATCTTAACCAATAAAAATGGACACATTTTAAGAAAAAAGGCCCCATTCCTGTAACTCTCCTGCAAGGCATTGATAATAAATGCAAAAGCCATTGCAAACTATAAAGTATATAAATGCTTACCTGAATCCAGCACATGAGATGCATAATGACAATGAGTAGTGTATTTATATTTATAAATGGGGATTCTCAAATTATTTATCCATAGTCAAGATTTGTTTTGTTGCATTTGCTCTTAAAATGCATTGTTGTGCATTCCATTCATGATATGTTAAAAATTCCTGTTATCTTCATGTACTCAGCAAAACCTAAAACTTCTACTTTAAACCAAAATATTATAAAGCCAGTAAAGCTGATATTTTATTATGATTTAAGCACCTAAAGTATATTCTGACTAATTTATAATCTCTGTGCTAAAATTAGGATCCTCAGGATTTGTTCATATGTACAAATATTGCAAATTATTTCTTTAAGCTAATAAAAACTTTAAAAAATACAAAGAATCCTTTACTACAAAGATTCAAAATCCATATCTGGGTCTGTATTAAGAGATAAATGAATAGGAAGTCAGTAAGCAAACAGTTGTCTGCATTTCCTCATCTGTGGATAAGGTACTTAGCGCAGCCAGGTTGTATTCATCTGGGTCTGGTTCTTGATGCTGGTATCCATTTTTAGCACTTCTCGAATAGCCATGGTAGCATAAGTAGAAGGAGGAAGAGAAAAATCCATTTTGAGAGCCCTGTATTTGCCTTCTGAAAGGGAAAAAAGAACAGTCAGAAAATGACAGTAGCTGCAGATAGACTGTATAGAATCAGATAATCTCTCTACAAATACAAAGAATAGTGCTCCTTTCCTTAGGCTTCTATTTCCCATAGGGGCTCAAAGAGAATGAAACCATGGAAGTAAGAGATTTGTAATGGGGCTGGGGCTGGGGCTGAGTGGTAGAGCACTTGCCTGACATGTATGAGCACTAGGTTTGGTTTTCAGCACCACATATAAATAAATGAAATAAATAAATAAACAAATAAATAAATGAACTAGTTGACTATGTGAACTAGTTGAATTTATACAGTAATTCTACCCAGGAACCTTCATTAAAAGGGTAGATTACAGAAGAGCACAAGAGAAAAATGCATGTAAAAAGAACCCCCCAAACAAAACAAAACAAATCCCAATTAGGACTGGAAGAGGAAGAAAGAGGACAGAATACAGAACATAAAGAATTTGACATGATAACCTGTGAACTTTAACTCACTTTATTGCCTCTCTGTGGGAGATGAGGAGGAAAGATTTTATCACCTAATACCATAACAATCTATAACATTCATTCACTTTCAGTGGGATTGACTGTTTTAGTGACTTGCCTCCAATTATAATCACGAAACTAAGATGATGAAACCCAAAACAGAAATCATAGAGTGGACAGGTGGTGTTGATGTTTGTAAGAACAATTTTATTTATTTATTTTTTTAAAGCTCAATTTTTTTCCTCTCACAAAAGTGTTGTGCTTTTTTTTTTTTTTTGAGAGAGAGAGAGAGAGAAAATTTTAATATTTATTTTTTAGTTTTCGGCGGAAACAACATCTTTGTTTGTATGTGGTGCTGAGGATGGAACCCGGGCCGCATGCATGCCAGGCAGCGCGCTACCGCTTGAGCCACATCCCCAGCCCAAGAACAATTTTTTTAAAAAAGATTTTTTTACTTGAAGATGGACACAATACCTTTATTTTATTTATTAGCTTTGATGTGGTGCCAGTATCGAACCCAGAGCCTCGTACATGCTAGGCAAACACTCTACACTGAGCCACAACTCCTGCCCGTAAGAACAATTTATTCAAAAGAATTTACACTTTTATATGACAGACTGAAGTAAAAGTTGGTTGACACAAGAACTGAAGATTGAGTGGACTTACCAGAAGCAAAAACTGGTGGTGGTTTCCCTTCTAGGTTGTCTACGTCTGTGTTGAAAAGTGGAATTTTTGGATCATCATATGCAACTACTTCCCTTTAAAATATATAATTAAAGACAGGAGTGAATATGAACTGTCATAAATGGTACTAAATTGCTTATCATCATTTCTTTTTTGTGGCCCTAGGGATTTAACCTGAGATGCTCTACCACTGAGCCACACTCCCAGCCCTTTTTACTTTATTTTGAGACAAGGTCTTACTAAATTGCCTCTGCCTCAAACTTGTAATCCTCCTGCCTCAGCCTCCTGCATTACAGGCATGCACCACCACAAAGGTGTTCATCATCATTTGTTTAGCAAGAAAAACACATAAAACAACTGGGCATGGTGGCACACGCCTGTAATTCCAGCAGCTCGGGGAAGCTGAAGCAGGAAGATTGTAAATTCAAAGCCAACCTCAGCAACAGTCAGTTGCTAAGCAACTCAGTGAGACCCTGTCTCTAAATAAAAAATACAAAATAGGGCTGGGAATGGGCTCAGTGGTTGAGTACCCCTAAGTTCAAACACCAATACCCTCCCCCAAAAGAAAAACACATAAGTCTATTGTAAATAATTATAAATATATAAATAGAACTATTCAATAATAGAACAAGGCCAGATTTTATACAAGACTATTGTTTCCATATTATTATACAGTAAGATGACAGATAATGTCAACAAATGGAAATGATACAAAATACTTCCCTGGGATAGAAATTATTTTATATGAAGTTGAGACATAGTAAACTTTATTTTGTACAGATGTGACTGAATTAATCATGGCCTTACATTTCCTCCAGAGTGGTTACACTACCATCAATACCTTGGAAAAGATACTCTGTAAACTTCATTGCCCACAGCCAGAGAAAAGGAAGGAGAGAGAATTTCCTGGCAATGGGCAAATAATTCAGGATTTCATTTTAAAATTATCAAATAAAGTTCTAGATAATACTATTAAAGTATTTTAAAATTAATTGACACAAGTATCCTTTTCTCTGTGGAAACACAATATTACAATAACCGGACTATTATTGAAAACTCACAGCTAATTGAGTAATTTGTTCAGGGATAGCTCTGTATAAGAATCTTGGTTTTTTTAGAAATAATGAAAAAAGTTTAATCTTTACACATTTCTTCAATAATTCATTGATGTTAACAACATCTAAGAGTTGTTTTCACTAAATTTCTTTTCCTTTCTTTATAGTGGTAGGGATTGAACCCAGGGCCTTGTGCATGCTAGGCAAGTGCTCTACCACTGAGCCACATCCCTCATCCTTCATTAATCTGATGATTTGAAAAATACCAACTGGTAGCAGTAGTGATAATAGTACTAAGAACAACAATAATATTAAACACTTACATGCTAGGTTCTAAGCACTGAAAAATATATAAATGAAGAAAAAACTTAATACTTTATGTAGTAATTCAGTTCTACTTCATTCCAGACTATTACTCACCAACTGACATTTTGAGGACGAATAATGATCTTTCGGTAAGCCCCTGATAAGGAGTAATCACGTATTTTGTGTCTCATGTTGTCAATATCAAGATTGTCTGCTGTGAGCATTTCCCTGTAGGCTTCGCTAACTAATACAAAATACAAAAAGTTAGTTAAAATGAATTCTGTCAGCAAGTTAGCTTAACGTAGACTAAAACTAGTGTAACATGTAAATTCAATTAGCATCCTTATTTTATAATACTAAGTCTGCTCTCTGGAATCAAAACAGTGGGGCTGGGGTTGTGGCTCAGTGGTAGAGCACATGCCTAGCATGTGTGAGGTTCTGGGTTTAATCCTCAGCACCACATAAAAATAAATAAAATAAAGGTATTGTGTCCAACTACAACTAATAAACAAACAAATAAATAAATAAAACTTAGTGACTTAGTAATGGGGACTAGAAGATATCTTCATCCTTGGCTTGGCCAACTTGTAGGCTATCTTTGCAGCTAGCCATAGTACATGTGGTATAAGGTTCTCAAGCTACCTACCAAAGGTCATTTCACCCAAAGTTGCTAAACCATAATTTTGTGCTCAAAGTCAGAAGAAACCATATACATAGGCTTCAAACACTCTCTGAAGAGGTAGTTATAAATAAATGTATAAAAATAAGAGACCCTGAAAAACCATCGGTCTCACCCTCGCACCTGATGGAAAATCTTTTTTTACACGAGAGACAGTTTTTTAATGTTCACTTACAAGTTGTCATAACAAGTAGAACTACTTCTTTATGAGGCACCCAATTATTAGAAAGTTCTTCCTAATTAGGATAAGATATATCCCATGCTTGTATAACTATATCAAAATGGATCCCACTGTCATATATAACTAAAATGAACCAATTAAAAGGAAAGTTCTTCCTATTCCAAACTGAAATCTATTCCCTGGTAACTTATTTTTTAAATTTATTTTTTAGTTTTAGGTGGATACAATATCTTATTTTATTTTTATGTGGTGCTAAGGATTGAACCCAGTGAATCATGCATGCTAAGCAAGCACTCTACCACTGAGCCACAACCCCAGCCCTGTTCCCTTGTAACTGTTGTTGATTACTTTGGAACACACTGGAACTTTCTTCCACATGTATTCATAAAAGTCGGACCTTTAAGTCACATCTTCATTAGACTAAATAATGGTTCTGTCAATTGCCCTCACTTTACAATTCTGTGTTTTCCACCAAATCCTTTAACAGGCTTATGTTCAACAACTCTAATTGATTGGGCTATCCCAAGTGTATGTGAGGATGTTTCCTGAGGAGCGGCATGAGTCAGAGGACTGACTGGGGAAGATCTGTCTTCACTGTGGACATGACCTGGATGAAATAAAAAGGCAGACTAGCAAATGATTTCCCTCTCTCTCCTAGACTGGGATACCCTTCTTTTCATATCTTTGAACTTCAGAACTTCAGGTTCTCTGGCCTGTGGATTCTAGGACTTATACCAGCACCCCTATCACAACACCCCCAGGTTCTTGGACCTTCAGTCTCTGATTCAGAGTTACACCACTGGCTTCCCTGGTTTTCACGCCTTTGGATTTGGACTGAACCATGCTATGACCACTTACGTTTCTCTAGCTTGCAGAGAGCCTATTCTGAGACTTCTCAGCCTCCATAATCAAGTGGACCAATTCTCCTAATAAATTCTTTTTCTTATCTCTATATATATCCTACTGGTTCTGTCTCTCCGGAGGACCTTTACTAAAACAAAGGGAAAGTGTGGGTTTTAGCATCTTAAGTGTCTTCCACTAGTTCAAGGTTCTTGGTTCCTGACCAGGACAGACAGATTACACCTCTCCCTTACTCACCTCACTTCCCCCCATCCACTCCTTTCCCTCAGTAAGTCAGCCTGTGCAAGTGTTACAGTACAGCAACGGGGTTGCTTTAATCAACATACAAATGAAAGAGTCCTATTAAATCCTTGTAGAATATATGCATTAGCCAAGAAGAGCATTAGTTTTAATAATTTTCTAACTCATAAAGTTTCAAGAAATACAACATTTATAAGTAAAATAATTCTGGTCTCTTGAAAGAAAAAATATTTTAATAAGAAGTCACCCAATGGGCTGGGGTCGTAGCTCAGTGGTAAAGTGCTTGTCTACCACGTGTGAGGTACTGCATTTGATTCTCAACACCACATATAAATAAATAAATAAATTAAAGGTCCATTGACATCTAAAAATATATATTAAAAAAAAAGAAGTTATCCCATGGGGCTGGGGTTGTAGTTCATTGGCAGAGAACTTGCGTAGCACGCTTGAGGCACTGGATTCAATCCTCAGCACCACATAAAAATAAACAAACAAAACATAAAGATATTAATAAAAAAGTCACCCCACCCACAGATTAGTCCTGGACAGGAGTAACTTCAAGGGTCATTTCCACTAAATTGGACCCATGGTCAGAGCTGCTTTCTTTTTTCAATTTCTGAATCCCTGTTCCAATGTTCCAATGTCTACTTGCTTAAATGGCATCCATGAAGGTAAAAGAAGTAATTCTTTTTTTTTTAATATTTATTTTTTATTTGTACTTAGACACAATACCTTTATTTTTAAATTTATTTTATGTGGTGCTGAGGATCGAACTCAGGGCCTCACACATGCTAGGTGAGCACTCTACCACTGAGCCACGACCCCAACCCCCAAAAGAATTATCTTATCAGCCTCTGGGGAATAGATATAGAATAAAAGTATAGAATTCTATGTTTTCCTTTTTTTTTTACTAAGGATTGAACCCAGGGGAATTTTACCATTGAGCTACACCTCCCAGTCCTTTTTATGACAGGGTCTCAAAAAATTGCTGAAGGTCTTGTAAAGCTGTTGAGGCTGGCTTTGAACTTTAGATCCTCCTGCCTTAGCCTCCTGAGTTGCTGGGGTTACAGGCATGAACCACCACACCTGGCTAACTTGTCAGTTTATAAACTCCTATATTTATTGACTTTTTAAATACCATTATCATATATTACTTAAATTATGTGTGTGTGTGTGTGTGTGTGGTGGCGGGGGGGGGGGGACTAGGAATTAAACCAAGGGATGCTCTACCACGGAGTTTACAGTCCCCTAAGTCCTTTTAAATTTTGAGATAGTGTCTCACTAAGTTTAAGACTCACCTTGAACTTTATGACCTTCCTGCCTTAGATTCCTGAATCATTGGGATTACAGGTGTGTTCCACCACACCTGGCTTTACATAATTTGTTCTTCTTTTGCAGTGTTGCAGATCAAACTTAGGGCCTCATGCATGCTATGAGCTTTATCCCAAGTCCCTTCTATTCTTTTTTTTTGGGTACCGGGAATTGAACTTGGGGGCACTCAACCACTAAGCCACATCCCCAGCCCTATTTTGTATTTTATTTAGAGACAGAGTTTCACTGAGTTGCTTAGCACCTCACTGTTGCTGAGGCTGGCTTTGAACTCATTTATGATCCTCCTGCCTCAGCCTCCTGAGCCACTGGGATTACAGGCATGGGCCACTGTGCCAGGACCCTTATATATTTTTGTTTTATTTTGTTACTGAGGATTTAACCCAGGGGTGTTTTCCACTGAGCTACATTCCCAGCCCTATTTATTTATTTATTTATTATTTTGAGACGGTCTAAGTTGCTTAGGGCCTTGCTAAATTGCTCTCTTGGCCTCAGGATTTCAGGCATGTGCCACCATGCCTGGCACTTAACAGTTTTTAAAAAGCAATGCTGAGGTAGAATTATCTACCTACTATCTCAATGCAAAACAAGAACAAATTATGTAAAGCCAGGTGTGGTGGAACACACCTGTAATCCTAATGATTCAGGAATCTAAGGCAGAAAGATCATAAAGTTCAAGTTCAGACTCTTCCTATACTTAATATGAATTAATAAATTTTAAAAATTTAAGTAATGCAAATAACAATAATGATAATACAACTGTTACTACTATAACCATCTAGTTTCTTTTTCTTTTTCTTTTGTTTTTTTGAGATAGGGTCTTGCTATGTTGCCCAGGCTGATCTCAAACTTGGGGTTGAAGCAATCTTTTCACCTTAGCCTCCCTAATAGCTAGGACTACAGGTGTGTACCACCATTCCTGACTTTAGTTTCTTTAAATTGTTCATTTGAATGCATCCCTTTTTGGAGACTTTCATAAATAGTCACAGTTTACATATGTTTGAAATCTAAATATCTCTTTAAGTGTGATGGAAATAAATCTTTTAAATTATATTTTAGGTACTGATTTTTTTTTCCCTCTCTTTATTCTTGGCTGCCAGTTGCTTAATTATGTTAGACTACTTTCTCCAAAGATTTTTTTTTTTTTTTCAGTGCTGGGTATTGAATCCAGGGCCTTGTGCATGTGTGGCAAGCATTCTACAAATTGAGTTATATTCCCCGTGCCAGAGAACTTACTTTTATGCTTTGGGTAGATAACATCAAAACCAGGCAAGGGCATTACCACATCATGAATGGAGTAATTGTCAACATCTTCTTCTTCAATATAGGTGGCTGTGGCTGCAAATGCACAAATAAACAATAAAAAAAGACATTATTTTCATGAATTCAAGCTTCTAAAGTTATATATATGTAAGCAAATCAGAAGTCAACTTTTACAAGTTAAGGGGCCTAGGAAGCTTAAAGATATAAATATACCAATACCATCCATACTCTTTTGTTTTTTTCTACTCTAAGAAATAAAAATTAAAGATTTCATAGAATTTTCAGTGAATAGTTTTAAAACATCTCCCAGCTGTATACTCATCTTCTGGAAATGTCTACTTTTAAAAATCAGCTACTTTATCCTTCATTTTTAAAAATTTTTTTTTTATCCTTCTTAAACAATATCACAAAATACTTTTTGGAAAGCTATCATAAAAATATGTACTCTCCTAAAAGAATAAACAATATAAATATCAGTCTGTAGTTAGAGGATGAAATATGTGGCACATGGAACATTAAAATGTATTGGATGTTAGGCTGGAGTTGTGGCTCAGAGGTGGAGCACTTGCCTAGCATGCGTGCAGCACTTGGGTCAATCCTCAGCACCACATAAAAACAAAACAAATAAAATAAAGGAACTCTGTCCATCTACAACTATAAATAAACTAAAAAAAAAAAAAAAAAAAAGCATTGGATATAACCAGTACTGCATGAGAAAAAAGGTGATACATCAGGGAAAAAACAAGCTAATGCATAGAGGTCAGGTATGCTACTGACCTGGAATATAGACCTTGAAATGAAACAAACTTGATTTTGGAGCCCAGATTTTTCTTTTTTATTAACCAGCTATGAAACAAAAGTGACTAACCTCCATGAAAAGCACTACTTTTTAGAAGTACTGGGAGGGTATAAACTAGAAGATGAAGGTAAAGGGTTTAGGGCAACACCTGGCACACAGTAAGGACTCCACAGCAGAGAGAATGAGTGCTGTCTTATGAATGCTTTGGGCTCAGTATGCCCTAAATGCCCATTCTATCATGGGCCACATGTAAGTTAGCTCCAGTCTGGTATTGATCTGAAGAAACACTTTTAAACTGGCTGACAACAAGATGAGAGGCTCAGACAAATCTAGAAGTATTACATATTTGCTAAACCCAGATTAACCTTTGGAAAGGAATTTTAGCCACCATTGTTCTAAATGCTATTCCACATACTAGTTGAGAAAATGGAGGCCTAGAAAGTCACATGCTTACTTAAACCAGATGTATATTTTTTTCAATAGAGACCCATTCCAAACTTACTAAACATCTTCCTCTCTCTTTTTTTAATGTCCTGGGGATTGAACCCAGGAGTGCTACATCTCCAGCCACCCCATCACCACCTTTTTGTTGAGAAAAGATCCCATTAAGTCACTAAGGCTGGTCGTGAACTTGCAATCCTGCTGTGTACCACCACGCCCAGCTCTTTTTAATTTTTAATTCCAGGCAAGATTTTAAAGCCACTAATGACAAATACCTGACTTCTTGTTTGTTTGAACAATGATATATGCTGTTTTACCTCCTTTAAGAACAAGGTCCCCTGGAACAGGTTTCAGCCCATAATCTTCTATTCTCTTGCTCACCATATTATTCCACACATAGCTCTGATAGCTATGAATATACATTAAACGATTATTTCTTGGTATCTGGAGGGAAGGAAAAAAATAGGAAAGAAAAAGATATTCTGAATATAAAAAGTACTGCAGTTTCCAAAATATCTTGTTTGTTTACTGATGATTCTAGTACAAGAAACTTATACTTTAAATCTCTTATTTTTAATACCCTGTAGAAACAGTGGCTTTGAAACAGAGCATTGAATATTAGAGATGGAAGACCTCAAACTAAAGGACATTAACAGTCATCAGTAGCAGCTTTTCACATTTTGTATCTATAACGCATACATCCATGCAACTAAAACAAACATTATGGAATTTATACCCTAAATTGAAGATTCAAATCAAATTTCAAACTCAAGGAATCTACATAGAGGTCAGGTATGCTACTGACCCTGAAATATGGACCTTGAAATCAAACAGTCAATTATACAGCAAACAGTAGTTTCTCCTCCATAATTCTACAGAAGGAGAACACCTACAATGATTGAATGACAACAAATTTCAGAAAGAATCCTGTTTTCTCGATACAYTTGGATAAAAGTAACTGAGGCTTAAGCTTAAGGGTTAAATTTTAAAGTGTCCTGGATTATACATAAACATCAGTGGTACAGGCTGTACTTGCCAAGATGTTATCCCCTCTTGACCCACCACGATGAAACCAGACTAATATAACTATTTAGATGGCTTACTGTCCAATTCTCTTCCTTAGGCAGTTTACAGTTCTGATGATGATCAAGAAATGACTATACAATGAATTCTGAATTTCTCAAAAACCCACTTAAATTTCCAAAGTAGATCAAGTTCTCCACATTAATACTTTTCTTGTGCCCTCAATGTTAGTAAATACTGCTAAGATTGCCTGCTCATCACCATTCAGGGTCTGAACAAAGATCACTCAGGTAAAATACCTCTTGGAGATCACCAAAGGATCCTTCATTAGTTTCTGCTCTTTTAAAATTTAGTAAAATCTTCCAAGATAAAGTTTAAAAAGCATTAAACCACTTCAAGCCATTGCCTGACTTCACAAATCGCACTCACTATGCCAAATGCAGAGACTATATTCTTCATTCCATATTTTGAAAGTCCTCGAAGCAGCTGCCCTTCCACACACCTTTTGACAGGTAGTTTTCTGAGGGCAGCAGCTGGGTCCTTGGTCTTCGCCCATTCTTCCCTGCATTTCACCAAGTACCCCTTTTCAGCTGTGGGGGAAAAAAACTATGATTTAACTATTTATCCAAAGGACAAACCTTCACAACTTAACATGCTTCCTGGGGAACACAACATTAGATAGAAAAGTCTAATTGTGATGAAGGTGCCATGAAGAGCCTCTGCTCACCTGGGGACAGGCACCAGAAAGGGAAAAAATGAAATGTGCAGCAAGAGTACAGAATTATATGACTCTATTGACATTCCTCCCAGGGCAACAACAAAAGCTATTTATTCATTATCACCATAGCTCATTCAACAGAAGACAAAAACTTGGTAGTCCTTCCTTCCTTCTCCTTTTCCATTGTGCTGTCAAGTTTTTTGAGTTACTTTCCTTAAATTGAGATTTTATTTTTTTTGGCTTAATTACCTAAAATGAATATACTTATTTTGACAATTTAGAAAATTCTACTTAAATCCCTTTTATATAGCATAGCTTTAGAGATACTTTCTTTTCCTTTTTGGGGGGTGGTGGTGGGATGGGGGATCTCAGGGACACTGGACCACTGAGCCACATCCCCAGACCTATTTTGTATTTTATTTAGAGACAGGGTCTCACTGAGTTGCTTAGTTTCTTGCTGTCGCCAAGGCTGGCTTTGAACTTGAGATCTTCCTGCCTCAGCCTCCTGAGCCACTGAGATTACAGGCATGTGCTACTGTGCCAGGCTTTTAGAGATACTTCTGAAAATTTTTAGTGCACTCTTTAAAAATTCTTAGGGCATTTTGCCAAGATTTTATATCTCATAATACCATACCTTAACAAAATAGCCACATGTATGTGATCCCAATATATTCAGATATTTAGTAGCGAATGAAGGGAAATAAATTTAATTCTTAAAATATTCATTGATTAAATTAATAAATTAGATAAGTTAAAGAGCTAAAACCAGGATATAAATTTAAAATTGGAAATATATACATAAGATTTGTGAAAAAATATAAAGAAACAAATTGTACATTTATTAATTTTAGTTGTAGATGGACAAAATACTTTTATTTTATTTATTTTTATGTGGTGCTGAGGATCGAACCCAGTGCCTCACAAGTACTAGGCAAATGCTCTACCACTGAGATACAAACCCACCCCCTTATCTATTTTCTTAACATGAATTTTATTCTTACCTCCAGAACGGGGTTTCAGTATTAAATCCATGACTTCTGTCCAGGAATTTTGTAAAATAGCTCTAAAATTAAAAAGTATTTATTTACTTAACTTTGCATTAAGGTGAATCTTCTCTGCCCATATCTTTGAAGAGTTAACAAATCATACTAACTTCATATTATTTTACTAAACATTAGCAGAAAAACTATGATATTGATTTCAAATGTAAATGCAAAAGGACTTTAGAAATAAGGAGAGAATAAAATTAAGGACAATGCTTACTCATAACATTAAAGTTTCAAAAGCTGTAACAATATAAATACAATATAGTTGATTTTAATTCATTATACATGGTATGTTTATGTGAATAAAAGTTTGTTGTTAATTTCTAAAAAAAAAAAACTCTCCATGTTAATAAATACCTTCTTATCCAGGTAAACAGAATAAATACAATTAATCCTTCTTTATTTTTCTTGCCAAAATATAAACATCTTTATTTTTGGGGATTTTAGAATTTATAATTCTTGTAATCATATAATGGATTTCCTATTGTTAACCATTCTTAGTCCTGAAACAAGTCATATTACATCAGTCTTTTTTTTTCTGTTTATTTATTTATTTCTTTATTAGTTGTTCAAAACATTACAAAGCTCTTGATATATCATATTTCATACATTTGAGTCAAGTGGATTATGAACTCCCATTTTTACCCTGTATACAGACTGCAGAATCACATCGGTTACACATCCACGTTTTGTACTCCTGGGGTGATAAATTACTCAGCTGGACAGGCTTTTAGCAACATCTTTTTCTCTTTTTTTAAATGGTGCTGGGGATTGAATCCAGGGCCTTGTACACATGAGGCAAGTGTTTGTCCACTAAGCTACACCCAGCGCACTTTCAGCAACATTTCAAGAAAGAGTTTAATACTAACAGTACTTGGCACTGGTCTGCCGGATATAATAGAAAGACTTAAATGATAAAAACCTTTATTCAGCATCAACTGTTATATAAACTATAGCCTGAAGTCAAATTTGGTTGGTCATTGACTGTAAATAAAGTTTTATTGGAAAACAGCTTTGCTCATTCATTTGCATATTGTCTATGGCTACTTAATACTATAACACAGAGCTTATCAGTTGCAACAAACACTAAATGTCACACAAAGCCGAAAATATTTACTACCTGTATAATATAATTCTTAACTGCATGACTTCTCAATATCTTTAAGATGCTACCATATATTGCGAAGATATCAACTTTTATATTAAATATGTACATATCTGATTTATGAAAGGTTATCTGGTATACTACACATGAAGATGTTTTGTCCTTTTCTTCTTCCTTTTTTTTTTTGGTACTGGGGACTGAGCCTAGAGGTGCTTTAATACTGAGTCACATCCCCAGCTCTCTCTCTTGCTTTCTTTTTAAACATTTTTATTTAGAGATAGGGACTTGCTGAATTGCTCTGGGCCTCACTGTTACTGAGGCTGGCCTTGAACTTGTGACCCTCTTGCCTCAGCATGCCAGGTCACTGGGATTATAAGCAAGTGCCACTGTACCCAGGTATCTTTCATTCCTCCACATTGTTTTATTTTACTATGGTAAAATAAACACAAAATTTATGATTTGAGCCATTTTTAAGTGTACAATTCTGTGGCATTTTACACGTTTGCTATTGTGCAACCATCGCTACCATTCATCTCCATAACTTTTGAATCTTTCCTACCTGAAACTCTGTACCTGTTAAACAATAACTCCCTATTCACCTGTCAACCACTATTATATTTTCTATGACTCTTCTCTAGGATCTCATGTGAGCAATCAGCCAGGCATGGTGGCACACTCCTATAATCTCAACAACGCAGGAGACCAAGGCAGGAGGATCATAAGTTCAATACCAGCCTTATTAACTGAGCAACACCGTCTCCAGATAAAAAACAAAAAGGGCTGAGAAGCTGGGGATGTGGCTCAGCAGTAGAGTGCTTGCCTAGTATGCACAAGGTCCCAGGTTAAAAAAAGAAAGGGCTGGGAATGTTGCTCAATGATAGAGCACCTGTAGGTTCAATCTTCAGTAACAGGAGAAGGGGGAAAAAAAGGAATCATACATTATTTGTCCTTCTGTGACTGGCTTATTTCAGTTAGCAGTCTGAAAGGTATAGCCATGTTATAGTATATATAAACATTTCCTACCCACTCCTTTTTTTTTTTTTTTTTTTTTTTTTGGTACTGGTGATTGAACCCAGGGGTGCTTTACTTACAGAACTACATTTCTAACTCTTTTTATTTTTTATTTATTTTTTGTGTGTGTGGTGCTGGGGATTGAACCCAGGGTCTTGTGCTTGCAAGGCAAGCACTCTACCAACTGAGCTATATCTCCAGCCTCATCTCTTTTTTTTTTTTTTGAGAATTTTAATATTTATTTTTTAGTTTTCGGTAGACACAACATCTTTGTTTGTATGTGGTGCTGAGGATCGAACCCGGGCCACAAGCATGCCAGGCAAGCACGCTACCGCTTGAGCCACATCCGCAGCCCTCTTTTTATTTTTTGAGACACAGTCTCATTGAGTTGCTGAAGCTGGCCTTGAACTTGTGCTACCACACCGCAAAATTTCCTTCAGTTTAAAGGATAAATTATTTTCCTTGAGTGCATGTATCACATTTTGTTTTTTTATCTGTTCACTGACACTTTGGTTACTTCCACCTTTTGTCTATTGTGAATAATGACATTATGAACATAAGTGTATAAACATCAGTTCACTGCTGCTTTTATATAATAATCAGAAGTAGATCTGCTGGATCATATGGTCATTTACATTTTATTTTTTGAGGAACCGCCATCCTTTCCCATAGTGGCTAAACCATTTTATAATCTCACCAGCAATGCATAAGGGTTCCAATTTCTCTACATCCTTACCAACACTTACTTAGCCTAGTGAGTATAAAGTGATATCTCATTGTAATTTTGATCTATATTTCCCTAATGACTAGTGATGCTGGGCATCTTTTAATGTACTTATTGATTATTTTTAATTATTTTTAAATTGTTAAGTTGTGGCCCTTTTTATATTCTAGACACAAGTCTCATCAAATATATGATTTGCAAATATTTTATTCCATTTTGCAGGCTGCCTTTTCTTTCTTTGATAATGTTGTTTAATGCACAAATGCTACATACAACTCCAATCCTTTTTATTTTTTTATTTTGAGGCCAGAGTTTGCCTAAATTTAAGTTACCCATGCTGGCCTTCAACTTGTGATCCTCTACCTCAGACTCTTACATAGCTGGGTAACAAGTATGTGCCACCACAACTGATTGTTTTAATTTTGGTAAGTACAAACTATCCATTTTTTCTTTTCTTTCCTGACTGTATTTGGTGCATTACCTAAGGAACTACTAACAAATCTAACAGATTTTCTTCTAAGAGTTTTTGTTTTTAAAGAGAGAGAGAATTTTTTAATATTTATTTTTTAGTTTTAGTGGACACAACATCTTTATTTGTACGTGGAGCTGAGGATTGAACCCAGGCCGCACACATGCCAGCCAAGCGCGCTACCGCTTGAGCCACATCCCCAGCCCCTTCTAAGAGTTTTGATAGAGCTCTTATGTTTCTTTGATCCATTTAAGTTAACTTTTATATATAAGGGAAAAGTCAACTTTGGTATACGGCATGTGACTTTCCAGTTTTCCCAGCACTATTTTATGATTACAGATAGTCATATCACCCTTGTTTAGAATCATTTACCAAGATATGTGAGGATTTACTCCATCTTTTTAAAAAAAGTTTTATTGAGGTAGACTTTATATACCCTATAATTCACCCATTAAGTGTACAAATTCAATGGCTTTTGCCATTGTGGCCTTTTGTGCCATATCTCACAATTTTAGAAGAGTTTCATCACCCCCAAAGAAATCCTATCTCATTAGCTCCCTATTGGCCCTGCCTCAGCCCTGTTTCTGAAGATTTGCCTATTCCAGACATTTCATACAAATGAATCACAAAATGTGGTATTTTGTGATTGGCTTTCTTCACTTCAGGTTTTCAAAAATAATTCATGTTATAGAATGTGGCAGTAAGTCCTTCCTTTCTGTTGCTGAATGATATTCTATTGTACATCACTTTTCATTTATTAATTCATCAGCTGATGACAGTTGTTTCTACTCTTTTGGATGATAAATTTACATTTGTGAAAATTTTTGTGTGAATGTAATATTTCCAGTTCTTTTTGGTATGTATACCTAGGCATGAAATTGCTAGGTCAGGTGGTGACTCTATTTAACCTTTTTAAAAAAATGTCTTTTATTTTTATGTGGTGCTGAGGATTGAACCTGGTGCTTCACACTTGCTAGGAGAGTACTCCACCACTGAGCCACAACCCCAACCCTCTATTTAACCTTTTAAGGAACTACTAGGCTGTTTTCCAAATGGCTGTCTCTTTTTATATTTCCATCAACAATGTATGAAGGTTCCAATTTCTATACCCTTGCCAACACTTGTTATTCTTTTTTTAATTTTAGCCATCCTAGTAGGGGATAAAGCAGTATATTATTATGGTTTTGATTTGCATTTATCTAATGATTAGTGATGCTGAGCATCTTTTTATATGCTTATTAAAAGGTATCAATGTTCTGTGGAGAAAGGTCTGTTCAGACTACTTGCTCAGATTTAGAATGGGTTGTCTTTTTACTGCGGCAAATAAGAATTCTTTCTGTATATATTTGGAAGTAATCCTTCCTTCTTAAAACTATGAGCTGAGACTTTGTTTATTCCCTCAGGAGGTCCTATAGTAGTAATAGTAGGTTTCTTTGAAGATAGGGAAACACACACACACACACACACACACACACATAATTCTTTTTTGGTGGGGGGGATCTCCCAGATAGATCATATCATAGGCAACCAGACATAGTTTGACTTCTTTTCTGATTTGTGTCCCTTTGATTTCCTGCCTTATTACTCTGGCTAATGTTTTGAGGACTATGTTGAAAAGGTGTAATGAGAGTGGACAGCCTTGTCTTGTTCCTAGAAAAAATGTTTTAGTTTTTCTCTAGTTAGGCTTTGGGTCTGTTATAAATGGTCTTTTACGATGTTGAGAAAACTTCCTTTGATCCCTAGATTCTCCAGTGTTGTTTTTGTTTGTTTGTTTGTTTTTACTAATTTTTAGTTGTATAGATGGATACAGTACCTTTATTTATTTTTGTGTGGTGCTGAGGATCCAACCCAGTGCCTCACACACGCCAGGCAAGTGCTCTACCACTGAGCTACAACCCCAGCCCCTCTCCAGCATTTTTAACATGAAAGGATGTTGGATTTTTATCAAAGTGTGTTTTTGCAAACATTGAGATGATCATGTGATTTTTGTTCTTAATTCTGTTTAAGTGATGAATTACATTTATTGATTTGCTTATGTTGAACCAACCTTGCATCCCTGAAATGAAACCCACTTGATCACGGTGTATTATCATTTTTGTTTTTTTTTAATATTTATTTTTTAGTTGTAGTTGGATATAATACCTTTATTTTTATGTGATGCTGAGGATGGAACCCAAAGCCTCGCATGTGACAGGTGAGCACTCTACCTCTGAGCCACAACCCTAGCCCCTCATTTTTATGTGTTTTTAAGAAGCAGGTTATGGAAATGGCTTGGAATTTTGAACTGACTCTATACTGACCTTTAAGCATGCTATACAATTTTTGATCCTGGATAAATCTGGTCTCATTTAAATTAGCTATTTGTATCAATTATCTTTGGAGAGCAAAAATTACAGAGTCTAATGGCTCTCCTTCTGCTGAATTAATTACAAATGTATAGATTGATACATCCTTCCTAAATGTTTGTCTCATAATATAATTAGTATCTTTACTATGTTTACCCATGTCCTGTAACCATTAGCAAGGTTGATAATGTATTTTTCTCTATAGTTATCATCTTAGTAACATTTTTTTTCTATGGTTAGTAAACTTTAATTTTTTTTTTTTTTAAAGAGACACACTGGGCTGGGGATATAGCTCAGTTGGTAAAGTACTTGCTGCTCAAGCACAAGGCCCTGGGTTCGATCCCCAGCAACACACACACACACACAAAATAATAATAATTAAAATTAAAATTAAAAAAATAAAGTTAAGAGACAGGGTCCATGTAACCCAAGCTGGCCCCAAACTCCTAGGTTCAAACAATCCTTGTCTCAGTTGCTCAAGTAGCAGGAACTATGGGTAAACACCACCATCCTCAGATGCTATAATTTTAACATATTAATATCCATTTACTGAGTACTTACTATATAAAATGAATAGAAATAAGTGTTGCATAAACAACATCTCACTGTCCTGTAAGGTTGGTATTATTTCCTTTTTACAGATGAATAAGGATGATAATCTAAGCTTGACTTCTCAACCTGTACTTTTATCCTCACAACACTGCTTTAAAACTACTTGGGAGGCTGAAGCATGTGGTAGTTGGCAAGTTTGAGACCAGCCTCAACATCTTAGCAAGACCCTGTCTCAAAATAAAATAAAAAGGGATGAAGATATAGTTCAGTGGAAGAGGATCCCTAGGTTCTATCCCCAGAACTAAGGGGGAAAAAGGGTAAAAGAAATACATGATAGAATTCATCATTTTGTGCTTCTAAAATCACACAAACAAATGCAATTTTGTGTAGTTAGTTGCTAAAATAAATGGACCAGAAGTCAAGAAAGATCTATTTCCAGAACTATAGCTATGTAACAAATGAGTTTGGATTGACCTCTCTAAGCCTAAATTTTATCTTTGCTAAGATGAAGGGTTGAGACATAAGGCATGACAACTCTTGGATCACTTCCAACCTGTAACTACAATTTTAACTCACATGAATAATTACTTTATGGAACATAATCTCTGCTGGTTAGCAGGATTCCAAATGTAGGTTTATAATCTAAATATTTATTGATATGATGTCTACCCTACTTTACCCTAGGTAGTATGTCCTCTACCACTTTCTTCAAAGGGTTGGGTGAAGGACAGGTCACAGTTTAACACACTGGGAATCATTTGCTAACAGAGATCATAAAATACATCATTTCAGTTTGGCTATTCTGGGTAAGAGTCACACAACTGCTGTGCCACTTATTTTAAAAATAAAAACAGAATCCCTGAAGGGGCTATTGAGAGTGGGAAAAAACTTACTTCCCAGGTCATGTTCTTTAGAACTCTGAATTTTTTTTTAACTTGTGTATGCATTATCTTAAAACAGAACAAAAATTAAATTAAAAGAGGCTGTGGATCAGCAATTTAGTCACCCTAAACATGAAGAAATCTAGAAATAATTTAAAACACCAACAACAAAAACCTTACTTTTTTTTTTTATAAGAGATCTCTTTTAGACAAAAGCCACAAAATTAAATACAAACCTCCCAACTTGATATGTAGGGACAGCTGTAGTTCCAAATCTTTGCATTCCATAGTAGTTAATAAATCCAATCTCCTTGAGAGAGTTCATAGCTTGTTGTACTTGGTCATCAGTTCCTGTTATGTTTCTGCAGGGCCCAAAATTATCCAGAGAAAAATATTTACAGCCAAACACATTTAGGGATGTGTATTATAAATGATTGTGACCYATCTATGTATCTCCTTTGCTCCCTTGTACTTTCTCTCTCTCTCCTGAGGGCTCTTTGTTAATTGTGGTAATATATTTTTAATAGTAAATTTATCATTTTAGTCATTTTTAAATGTATGATTCAATAGCTTTGAGTACATTCACAATATTGTGTAATCTTTATTACTATTACTTACTTTTGCATCTTCCCAAACTGAAATTTTGTACCCATTAAAGAATAACTCTCCATTCCTCCCTGCCTCCAGTAACCTCTACTCTACTTTCTGCAGATTTGCCTCTTTCAGGTATCTCAATGAAATGAAACTACAGGCTATCTTTTAACACAGTATTTGAAGAAGACTGTTTTTCCAAAGATTGTGCTAAGCTTTTAAAAGGAGAATGGAGATTATTTTCCAGTATAAATACTATAGAAGCAATTACCTCAGGGCCCCCTCAGGCCCAATACCAGTGAACCCGCACCTGATTAACAACTGTTATGAACAGATTGAAGATGACCAGGCACGATACCTCTGGTCAGCATTCCTTCAGTTCAGTTCTTTACCTGAGAACAACAGTGAAGTGATTCCCTTGAAGCTCTCCCAATTTCAGAGGGTTTTTCTGATAGCTGAAATTTCCTAGCTTAAAGTTCATCAAGCATTTATTCAGGTGGGCAAGTCTTTGTGCAGTTATTCTTTAAAAAAAAAAAAGATGATGCAGAAGGAAAATCATGAGTTATTGTCTAACTGAAATAGCCTAAGATACCTTACTACAGAAAACAAGACTACACCACAGCTGTGACTGCTGGGAAAGACAGGCACTGCAGAAGGTTGGGGTAAAACAATTTTCTTTTCTTTCTGGATTGTTCTGTCAACACAGTAGTGTCTGCTTCTATGGGAATAACATGACCTAGGCCATATTTTACACACTTAAATCCTTTGTAGTTAATACACTAATGAGTAAGAGAACAACAATATTTGTGAAATTTTCTATTTTTTCATGGGGGGAAGTGAGTAAAGGGATGGTGGCATTCCCATATAATTATAAAGAATGGTAAAAAGCATTTGAAAAATGGTCAGTCACATTTTTTGTCTATCAGAAAAATACTGTGAATTTATTACAGAAAACTTGGAAAACACAAAAATGCAGCAAGAAAAAATTCATAGGTTCATCCCCTGGAAAAAAATCTGTTCAATCTAACTTTGAATTTCTTCCCATTCTTTTTTTTAAACACATGTTAAAGTTACATATATAGCCGGTACCCTCCCACAAATCTGTACCCTGCTGCTACAATTTAATATAAATGTTTCCTATGCTATTATAAAAATTTCATTAAAAATTCCTTGTTTTCTTCAATAGGAAATCTATGTAGAAAAACAAAAACCTGCATTGAAAAGCCTTTGTCCTATCTCAATCCCCAATGCCCCTCCCCACTGACAGTCAATATTAAGTTTTTTTATATACTTCTCCAGAAATATTTTCTGTATATATTTTTAGTAAGCTTTATATATATATGCATGCTTTCTGTTCAGAAAAAAATAAATCATACAAGTTCAGCTGATAAATTTTCACAAAGTAAGCACACCCATATTAACAAGTACCTATGTACTTTTTAAAAACATTTTTTTCTAGTTGTTGATAGACCTTTTTCTCAGTTATTTATATACAGTGCTGAGAATGGAACACAGTGCCTCACACCTGCCAGGTAAGTGTGCTACCACTGAACCCCAGCCCCAGCCCCAGCCCCTAGGTCCTCTCTTTTAAAAAGCAAATTTGGGTACACAGATATTGGATTGAGGAATATAGCTCAGTGGTAGAATGCTTGCTTAGACTACATAAGGCCCTGGATTCAATTCCTAGCACTGAAACATTAAAAAAAAAAAAAAAAAAAAAAGCTGAGCATTTTGCCTTAGTCATTTAAAGAATGCCTGTTAGAGGTTTGCTTTATCCACACAGTATTTCTGAAGCTGTCTCATCCTTTGTACAGCTGCACAGTATGTCTGTTGCATTGTCCTTTAATGGACGTTCGAGTGTAGGTAATTTTCCTCTAGTGTTGGGGATCAAACCCAGGGCTTTAAGCATGCAAGGCAAGCACTACTACCACTGAACTATACTGCCAGCCTTTTTTTCCCCTTAGTTGTAGATGGACACAATACCTTTGTTTTATTTATTTATTTTTATGTGGTGTTGAGGATCAAATGCAATGCCTCACACTTGCTAGCAAGTGCTGTATCATTGAGCTACAACCCTAGCCCCATATTCCTAGCCTTTCTTTCAATGAACATTTAAGCTGCTATCCATCTTTTGCTATTTACAAACAATTCTACAGCAAATATCCTCACGTACATTTCTTTGTGCACCTATACAGGTATTTGTGTGAGATAGAATCTCTAAAAGTAGAAGGGGTGGATTTAAAATTTTAACTCTTATCACCCTCCAGAAGTTGAACCAATTTATGCTCACACCACCAATTTGTAGATACCCATTGCCTCCTCCCTGTTTCTATTTCCTTGCTATGATTTGGATATGGTTTAAGTGTGTCCCCTAAAGATTCATAAGTTGGAAGCTTGGTCCTCAGTGTGAAATTATGGGAGGTGGTGAACCTTTAAGAGGTATAGCCTAGCCGGGAGTCCTTAAGTCATTGTGGGTGTGTTTGTGTGTGCTGTCCTCAAAAGGGACTAATGAAGTTCTCTGGGATCTTTAGAGAGAATCATGACAATAGCATGCCTGACTCCTGAATCACTCTTTAGCTTCCCATTTGGCAATACCCTTTCTCTCTCTTGTATGCGCTCCTACCACTGCCATTATTCCTAAGGTCCTCATCATAGCCAAGCTGATACTGGTGTCATTCCTCTGAACATCCTAAGCATCTTCAACACTTTTTATTTTTTAAATTTTGCAATGGGGTCTTGCTAAGTTGCCCAGACTAACTGGAATTAGCGATCTTCCTGCTTCACCCTCTAGAGTAGCTGGGTTGACAAGTGTGTACCACTGCATCCAGGTGGTTCTGTTTATGTGTTTTGTTTTCTAAGTTGCTTAAATTCAGGATCCAGTAGAGGATCACATATTGTGGTTGTGGTATCTATTTGGACTCCATGGAGCAAATGTTGGATCTAGCTAATGTGCTGTTTTTCATGACTTTTAGAATAATCCAGTCAGCTGTTCTATGTCTTTCAATTTAGATTTTTCTATTTTTTGTGAGTAAAGTCAGGTAAACATACTGGTAGGAATACTACTTAGGTGACATTATGGTCCTGTTCATTATGTGTTCAGTATATGACATATCAAAAACAATGATTCAGCAGGGCACACATGCCTGTAATCTCAGCTACTCAGGATGCTGAGGCACGTGGATCCAAGTTTGAGGCCAATCTAGACAAGGTTGTGAGGCCAGTCTCTATATAAAGTGGGAGCATCTCTGGGTTCAATTCCCAGTACCAAAACCCCAAACAATGATTTAGTTTGCTCATCACTTGATTAGGATGGTGCTTATTAGGTCTTTCCACTGCAAAGGTACTTCTCCCTGTGTTKTTTTTTTTTTTTATTAGTAATCTATAGAGGCACACTTTTGAAATTGTGTAAAAAAATCTGCCCTCACATAGTACCCTTACTTCAGCCAACTGTTTAGGCACCAAAGATATTACAGTGTCCACTGAAAGAGTGTTTTTCTGAATCTTACCATTCCCCCTACAGTTGACAACACTTTTCTGTAAATGAGAACTAAATACAGAAATTTTAGTCAAATTCATGAATTATTTAAAAAAAAAAAAAAGTTCTGATTCAAGTCATAGAAAGGGTGTCCCTAGTCAGAGATTACTTTTTAACACCCCAGGTTTTAGTAGAATACTTTCAGTTTTATCTTTATGTTTAAATGTTCAACCCACCTGGAATTTATCTGACATATGAAACTAAGGTAGGTAGTCAACTTTACTTTTTTTTTTTCCAGATGGCAACCCAGTTTTCTCAGCAACAATGAGTCAACGATTTTTTTCTGTTATTTTCAGTGCTACTTTGAATACATACTAAGTCCTTCAATGTATATAGGCCTATAATTTTTCTACCTCATAATTTGCCAATGTTAAAATTGTTTCAGTTGCTATATTTCTACAATATCCTTTAATACTGAGGCAAATCCTCCTCCTTCTTATTTTATTTTTGTAGTTGTATATGGACAATGGGCCTTTATTTTATTTGTTTATTTTTATGTGGTACTGAGGATCGAACCCAGTGCCTCATACACACTAGGCAAGTGTTCTGCTATGGCCCAAGCCCCCCAAATCCTCCTATATTAGTCATTTTTTTCAGAATTTTAAGGCTTATTTTGCATCTTAACATTTCCACACAAATGTTATGCTCAGCTTGATTAATTAGAAAACTTACACTAGTATTTTTATTAGTGGGGGTGTTGTTTATACATTTTTTCAGTAAGAAGACAGGTTTATAAGTATCTAAGAACGGGTTTTATCATTTCTTTACTCATGTTTCAGCACTGCAAACTGTATTTTTAATAGGTATCTTATGCTTTCAAGAAATCTTTGATTCTAATGGTTCTTTTTCATTTTCCTTTATAATAGATTTCATTTTTCCTCTGAATTTTCTAGTTGTATATTCTTATGTATTAATTTTTCTTATCTTGTATAATTTTCAATCAAATCTTGAGTAAAACCTAAAAATTAGCCACTTTCCTTCTCATTTTTAGCCCTCTTACTTTTTAATTTTGTTTGTTTGCATAAGCTACTATGTCCAGAATAATGATCAATGACAATAGTGAGGTTAGCTTTATCTTCATCTTGCTGTAAATGAAATGTTTCTAATATGTCACTACTAAGACATGGCATTTCATTTTATATATTGTCATGTTAAGACAGCATTCCTTAATCTCTACTTTAATAAAGAGATTTTTTTTCCTAATTAGGAGAAATAATTTAACTTAAGAAAAATAATTCATCCAATTAAGTTTATTTAAGTATTCATTTTATGTAAGAAGAATCAGTTGGAATTATTTCTAATTTTCAACATATGAAATAATGCCACGATATATCACTGTACATAAAAAATTGGCTTTAGGTTTTAATTTTCCTAAATTCAGATTTCCTTTGAAAAGACATCTACTCATACTGCAATCAGCAAAACAAAGGGCGTGTGTGCTTCATTCACTATGCTGAAGAACACACTTCACTCTTCCAGAGTCTGTCAGCCGTTCCCAGTGTTGGTCTTTGAGCTCACTTCTGCTATTAGGAGCCATGTTTCGCTTTGCCTGGGAATACTGACCTGAGGGAAGTCTGGATGCAAATTCAGGCACTGTGCCTGCATGAAAGGCTGAGTTCTGTCCCAAAGTAGCTCATCATAGAATACCTCAACAGAGGAGTGTAGTCTGCCCTGTGGACCTCTCAACTCCCAAAACTAAGAAAAAACTAATGGTAAAAATTTATCCTACTTCCTGGTTATAAATATATTATTCTAAGTTAAATAAAATTGTTAAAAACTCATCTATATCCTACCAACTTGCAATCTGATCTCACAGAATTCTTTCTTTGATGAAATGTCTCATATTTGCTAAAGATAATCCCTTGATACCCTGTATACTACCCTATTGCTTCCTGGCTTGATACATGCAGGAGTAGCCTATCAGGTTTCTTGAGGGAAAATAAAAATGTTACTGCCCCATTAATTAACAGAAAGGGTAGGAAGACAGCCAGAGAAATCAGGAAATGGGCCACTCTTGTACTCCATTTTCCCTGTCCTCTGTCCAATTGCAAGTCCACACATAATCCAGGACAAGTTCAAAAAAGGATAAAGCAGGTATAGTCCAACAGTGGGTCAGTTGCTAGGAGGCACCAGGCCCTAGTGTTCAAATGTTTGGGGATGAGAGTAGAACCCAAAGGTGTGAATTAATCCAGGATATGTATCCCCAAGAATTCAGAAAGAAAACAGAAGTTCAGTATGAATAAATTTAGGAACAGGAGGACCAGATTCCTTTTTGGTCAGTCCACTGCAGGAACTGACAGAATAATTCAGATCAAGAACAAAAAGGAATCCAACTGGCAATCTGGCTGTCCTAGAGAGAGAGCTATAGATACTATGCCCCAACAGTTTCTGACAGAAGCTTTTTTTTTTTTTTTTAAATAAAATTAACATAAAAATTCACCATTTTAACTATTATAAAGAATACATTTCAGTGGTTTTTAGTATACTCACAATGTTGTGCAAGACTCTTCTAATTCTAAAAACTTTCATGGACATTTTTTTTTTTGGTACCAGAAGTCTAACCTGGGGTAATTTACCATCCCCAGCACCTTTTAAATTTTTTTTTTCAATATATTTTTTTTTTTTAGTTTTGGGTGGACACAACATCTTTGTTTGTATGTGGTGCTGGGGATCGAACCCGGGCCGCACACATGCCAGGCGAACGCACTACCACTTGAGCCACATCCCCAGCCCCAGAAGAAAGGCTTCCCTGACCGGGAATCGAACCCGGGCAGAGGCGGTGAGAGCGCTGAATCCTAACCACTAGACCACCAGGGAGCGTCCTTTTAAATTTTAACACAGGGTCTCACTGAGTTGCTTACTGCCTCTCCGTGGCTGAGGCTGGCTTTGAACTTGTGATCCTCCTGCCTCAACATCCTGAGCCACTAGGATTACAAGTGTGTGCCATCACACCAGCTTCCATGGATTTATGAACAAAAAACTTCACACCTAGTTAGCAGTCACTCCCATTCCCTCCGTTTCCTCTCCCTGCAGCTCCTGATAACCATTAATCCACTTTCTGTCTATAGATTCCCCTACTTGGGATATTTCATATAAATGAATCATTTTGTGCCTGACTTCTTAGTGCAAGGTTTTTAAGATTTATATTGTAGCAAAATATATCAGTACTTCATTCCTGTTTATGGCTGAATAATATTATTATTTTTTGAACATACAATAGACATCTACTTCTGAATCCCTCAGCAGAGCAAAACCCCATAGCTATACTCAATTTTTGATGGTCATATTGCTGAGAAAATACGGGTGGAGCTGACAATGTCTTCATTATACTGCTCACTGTTTTAATTCTGATGATCTTAGATAAAGTTCTTTGATTATAAATTTCCTGCAATTTAAATGACTAGAGAGTATGACAATCACACTTTTATATAGTAGGAGCCAACTTAACTGACAAGTTGCACAAAAACATTTGTTAACAAAGCCAGGGAAGTATTGGCCCAAGTACTGGCAGGCACAGGCAGGAAAAGAAACAAATCATTCTGAATAGTGCTGTTCCTGCTTGAGATCCTGTAGAAATTACTAGGCGGCTTTAGAGATACATGAAGCTGAAAAGAAATGTTGCTTATCCCCAGAACTGATCAATTCAGCAAAAATTAAAATCCTTGTGTGGCAGAGTGGATGTATCCTGTTCACTAGTTCTCACGGGAAAGACCAATCTGCCTGGCCCCACAGATCCATTAAGCAAACTAAGGGTGTAGCCTGTATCCGTGAGATAAGTGTTATGTGCTTTCAAAAGGCCAAAATTTAAGTGTCTGATATGTTTTTTATGAAATCAACAGGAAAATGATAAAGGCAGCACAATTCTTTGAGGGCAGAGCAGTATCCTGATCAGGTATGACACCTGCTGGCTGACCAAAATGAGAAGTGTCTTCCGTCTTAAAAAAAATCAAGTACTTCACATCAAAAAATGCAGAATAAAATAATGAGATGCCATTTTTTTACTCTCAAATCAATAAGAGACTCCCCACCCCCCATTATAATACTGTGCTGGGGAGGCACTAGAATAAAGGTGGTAAATTGGTGCCACCTTTCTTCAGGGCAATTAGGCTTGCCTATCAAAAACCATTAGCAAGGTTAGGGTGTGGCTCAGTGGTAGAGTGCTTGTCAAGCACCTGTGAGGCACTGGATCCCATCCTCTGCACCACATTAAACAAACAAACAAATAAAATAAAGGTTAAAAAAACTTATTACTAGCTCATATTCCCTTTTAGTCAATAATGCAATTGCTAGTTTATCTTAAATGAATTTATCATAAATGCATGCCAAAATTTAGCTACAAATAAATCTTGTCATGGAATTGCTTATTTTATGAAGAGAAGATGTAAATCCCATAAAGTAAACTTGAGAACTCAGAAAAGTGATGCTAGGATTTTCGCAGTAGAAATACTGACAAGTAATCTTTACTTACTTAAGAACAGCAATTTCTTGAACCGTTATAGCCCTTTTATCTTTGGTTCCCATATAAGAGAAGATGTTTGGCTTCACTCTGGTAAAACAGAAACACAACAACCCAAAGTCACATATCTTAAGAAATCATATTTCTCATAATTAAGTTTCAAAATAAGTACATTTAAAATAAACAGAAAGTGTAACTGAGGTGATTCTGCAATCTGTATACGGGGTAAAAATGGGAGTTCATAACCCACTTGAATCAAAGTGTGAAATATGATATATTAAGAACTATGTAATGTTTTGAACAACCAACAATAAAAAAAAAAAAGAACCTAGGATGCACCCACTAAATGCAGGACACTCAAAAATTCAAGTCGGAAATAGGTACTGAATGGTTCTACATGTGAAAACCAAAGAACTATAAATCTTCTTAGTAAATGATTTTGCAAATTTTATAACATTATCATTTTTTTCTCACTACTTCTAGATCACAAATACTTTGGTTCACAAAACTGAGGGAGGTGGGACAGTTAAAGTTTTTCTAAAATAAATTAAGTGTCACAGAAAAAAAATAAAATAAAATAAACAGAGGAAGAGTAAAATAGGGAGAAACTTCTTACAGTGCTTGATTTACAACACTGTGGTTATTAGTAACTGATACTGTTCAAAGACTTGGCTAGACAGTAAAAAAAAAAAAAAGCAAACAGTGCACTTCCATTGATCATAAACAATTCACCAGATTACATTAAAACTGTTACCATGTTTAAATTTAGGTAACTTTTCACAGCACACAGATTTGTTGTGGTGCCTACAGCCATTCTATTAAAAACAAAGCAAAACCAAAAAAGCTTTGGCACTTGTCCCAACCTTAAAGACCATAATCTCTGCTACATTTGTACCCTCTGAGAAAACGTGACTGGTTTCCAGGTTCTCCATGTAGTCAGTTTCCAGGAATTGAGAGCTCCCCATTTGGTAAAGCCAATCCCTGCAACCACATCAAACTACGGTTTAAAGGAGAAAGTCAATTTTCATTTCCATCTTATGAATCGATAACTCTCAATATGTGAATTATTTACTTTCAGAATTATCTTCTTGAATTATTGGCACGGGGCTTAAAAAATTAATTTACTGTTGCCTAAGAAAACTGGTAGGTACATTTATTGTCTACTGATCTATGCTCCTGTTCTTTTTTCATTAGCAAGGAATGAAAACAAAACAAAAAACACATTAGTAATGCTCTGATTTTGTAGAGGAACAAGAACAAAATACCAACCTTAAATATTTGGATAGTACATTAATAGCATCCATGGTGTCTTTGTTTTCCTTATACAGAACAAAGTGGCAGTAACTTCCCCTAGATTTTGGCCAAGAATGTTTTCTTGGATCTTAAAAATAAAAAAGTGAATGTTATATATACCATAGTAAAAGTTAAATTAAAAGCTAAAATGTATGTTGTGTAAAAAATAAGTAGGATCAACAAGCAACCTTTACAAGGCACAGACATGGACGAGGCCCACAATTCCTATCAGCACCTGTCTGACAGGGGGCCCAACTGGCTCCACAACACATGCAGTCCAAAGGGAAACAGCAGCTACAATGGAATCTACAACCCTCTTCTAAGAGTGAGGATCAGGTGTTCAAACATATGGGAGCAGGGATGGAAGTTAAGTTTATGACAAATTATCTAAGTAACATGAATAGATTTTTCCAAAGGTCTTTCCATTACAAAAGTTTAGTTTATGTCTACAAATGGTCTAAAAAATCGCCCTGATAAAAGAGAACAGCTAGCATTCAAGACCTGTCACTCCTGGGAAAAGAAAACTCTTTTTTTGTTGTTGTTGTTTTCAGTACTGGGGATTGATCTCGGGAGCACTTAACCTCTAAGCCATATACTCAGCTCTTTTTTTGTATTTTATTTAGAGACAGGGTCTCACTGATTGCTTATTGTTAATATATGCCATATATATTGCTAAATTGCTGAGGCTGGCTTTGAACTCATGATTAGGTCTCAGCCTCCCAAGCAGCTAGGATTACCAGTGTGTACCACCACACCTGGCAGGAAACTCTTAAAAATTAAGCCACATTAGGTGCTAACTTCTGAGCTAGTGTTACTTCAATTGTTTAACTCTTTGGAGACTGATAAATACCACATGACCTAGGAGAGCCTCATTTTTAAGATTGTTCTTTTAATTGAATATTTCAATTACATTGTAATCTAGAAATATATATATTTAAACAATATAAAATTTAGATTTAAGCTGCTTAAAGAGTATTTTAAATAATTGTTACTTTGGGAAAAACACAAGCCACAGCTGCACTTTGCAGACACTGTACGATATTCATGAGTCTTGTGTGACAGAGCTGTAGTTATTTGAAAAACATATCTAGTTCATTTGACTTCTGTAATTACAAGAAAGAAAAACTGAAATAATATTCTGCACAATTAACTAAAAAGAATCCTTTTCTTTTAAGGAATGGTCCTTTGTCTTTGTTCCCCAATTTTTTCACATGAACTCATGGAATCCTTTATCTGCAGAGGCTTATGATATTCCTCATACTGAGGTTAACTGCATAACTGGCTTTATCAAAGCAAAAAACCCTGCTTGATAACAAGTTAGTGATTTCAGCTACAATTAAAAAAGCCATAAACCAATGTAAAGAATCAATAAACCATTTCAGAAAACTGTCATGGTAGGTATGCCTAGAAAATTTAACTTTCCTCCTGGATAAGTAAGTATTTTCTGTCCTGTACAGAAAAGTATTACAACTATCTCTTGATGTGAAGTAGTCACAATTTCCTCGGAAAGTTTTGAGTAGGAATATCATTTGGTTTTCCTTCCAGTTAGTTCACTATCAGTTAAGCAAGGTGATTGCACTTGCAACAAAACCATTGGCATTTCATTTAATCTACATTGAAACACCAACTGCTCTTACCTGCTGCAGTTCTGACCTCTGTCCAAATGCACAGCATAAAGAGCACAAGAGAGCAATGTTTAATTTATAATAATCCTAAAGTAATTTAGAGGTGAACATGCAAATGATCGCATGGTAAGTTTATACTGAGGAACTCCTACAGCACCTAATAGTTATGTGATGGGTCAACAGCCATTCAGACATTAACAATGGGATGGGATGGAGGCAAACAGGGAAAAAGTAGAAAACTCACCTACTACAGCCTCCCTGTCTCGAACTTTTCACAATGGGCATGTTGGTTCATCCTCAAAAGTACACTATCTATTTAACCCGTGGAAATTAGCAAAAGGTTCAAGACTGGGTATCAAATGCTTCTCCCATTTAGAGCTTTGTTTTCTTAAATATGGGAAGACATGCCCAATGCAATAGTTAGTTATTGTTTTGCTTTGTGCTTTTTTTTAATAAGCTGCAGTACACTATAAAGATTTTTTAAATTTGAAAATGTTTAATGATTAGTACAGAAAATATCTAAATTCTCCAGTTTACAGATTAAAAGAGATTTAAGAGATGATTTGGGAGACTTATTCATTGAGTGAAGTTTTTTTCTGGAGGGGAGTGGGAGTGGGGACTGGTGATTGAACCCAGGGGTGTTTAACTACTGAGCCACATCCCCATACCTTTTTTATAGTTCATTTAGAGACAGCATCTTGCTGAGTTGGCTTAGGGCTTCGCTAAGTTGCTGAGTCTGGCTTTGAACTCATGATCCTCTTGCTTCAGCCTCCAGAGCTACTGGGATTAGAGGCATGCACCACCGCACCCCTACCTGAGTGAAGTGTTCTGAGTTTGTTTTTATCATTACTTGAAGAAGCTGTGTACATAAGAGGCATTTTTGAGATACTCAGGGAAAAATTAAACATGCACTGGGTATTGGATATTAAGAAATGATTTTGATTTTCCTGGATATGATAATAGTTTGGGTTTTAGCCCTTACTAATAAACACACACTTAAGTATTTATGAGTGGAATGGCAAGTTATGTAGAATTTGCTTTAAAGTGCTCCAATAAGGAAAAAAAGAGAATGTTAACTATCTCTTTTTATTTTATTTTTACTTATTTATTTATTGGCACATTATAATTATACATAATAGTGGATTTTGTTAGAATGTGGATAATCTTGAAGATGGTTGATGGGAACATATAGTTTCCATACACTACTTCCTCTATGTGTGCATATGTTTGAGAATGCACATTCAATAAAAATTTTAAAAACAAGTATAAGAAAGTTGATAAAGTGTAGCTACATTTTTCTTGAAATACTAGCCCTTAAGTATATTCACAATTAAGTATAATGGTAAAAAATAAATTACACCTACAAGATGAAAAACTAAATGCTATTACCCCTTAATGGAAACCATGACAACTAAGTATGAGTATGAATTTGACTCAGAAGCATGCATCCCCTACTAGTAAATCCAAGCACTGAGCATGCATAAAATTATCTCCTCTGACAATAAGAAACATATTTTTTTTCAAAGTGCACTCAATATGCAAAATAGTAAAACACTTCCATTGGTTAACTAGGAATATTTTGAATAACAGAAATTGATGAGTTTCAACTTATTTTGGACAATTTGTTTGACTTTATAAAACTCTAACCCCTTAGAATGCTAAGTACATATACTTAGCTTTATAATTTAAATAAATTTAAGATAACTTTCAAACATTTTTTTTTAGATACTCCAATTTATAATGCAAAGAATTCTTAGGCTAGGTAATATACATCTTATTTCCAGAAGTTTACTTCTACCTTCTGAGGGTCTGCCATGGCAGCCCCAGACGAGCAGAAATAGAAACAAGAAAAAGGGGAAACCATGTTCAGAAAGATTCATGTATTGAGCACAGATGTCCCCATGGATAAAGAAGAAAAAAAAATGTAGCTTGAGGAAGATGATAGGATGGGGTAGCATGCAGAACATTCTTTCCTTCTTACTCAAGTCCATTCTTTCCACTGCACCCTGAATACCAACCTTGCTGCTTCTTCAGAGATCCTACTATATCCATTACTTCATTATACTCTTCCCTGAATTTTTGCCCTCCCTTTCCACTGTCTCTTCTCTTCAGTACTTAAATATACTCAGAACTCTTCCATTTTAAGCATGTTCTCTTCCTTTTCCTTTCTCTTTATAGCTTGTTTGAAAAGCCAGTCTGTATAGATTAGACTGTATATACTGCCTTCCATCTCAATCTGCTGTGTAAACTGGTTTCCAACTTCATCCATCATTCCATTAAACCGCTTTGGTAAAAAGACACCAGTGACTTCCATGTTACTAAAAAGTTACAGATTTGTTTCACAGTTCCCACCTTGTGAGATCTATATGTGCCATTTCACACTGCTAACCATTCTTATTATTGGTATTCCTATTCCTATGGATTATGTAATACCATTCTCTCCCAGAGAGCCTCTTTGTACCTTCCAGGCTCTTCCTCTAAGTCTGTGGATTGCTAGGTCCAAGGATCAATCCTTCCTGAGAACCATTTATTTTTAGAAAGTATAAAAAAAAAACTAGTGTATAAATATATCAGAGCAGAATGTCTTTCTTAATCCTAAGTCGTTAAAAACAAGTTTTAGAAACATTTGCAATGTATACTATCTCAAAATGTAAATTAAATGTACTTATTTATGAATGTTATAAGTTATATGGTTTTTTCAGAAAATAAATGTTTTGGTAGATAACGAAATGTACCCTATTGGACAACCTTAACACAAACACAAAAAAATGCCTGAATTTAAATAGTTCATTATTTTTGGTGTTTGGGAACCGAGAATTAGAAGGTACCACTTCTATGTTTTAGGAAGCACTATTATAGTTGAGAAAAGTTAGGTTAAGAATATTGCAAATTAGATACTGCATAACCCATCAATAATAATTTGTATCAGGGCTTGGTAGTAAATGAGCTTTAAATCATAATAAATTGCAAAGCTTTTTTTTTTTTTTTTTAAAGCTAATACAGTCAAATACAAGGCAAGAAAGCCTAGGAGGACAAGCTGTCATTGGTACTGGGTTCTATTTGTAGGGCCATGAACAACAGTTTCTGGATAACAGCTCTCCCTCCATTCTGAGTGGCATTTACCTTAGGCTACTCTATCAGCTTGTGAATGGGAAAGCTGGACATGGAAAAGGTGAATACAGCCTCCCAAGTAACTATCTGGACAAGAGAACAGCCTTCTGTGGGGTAATGGGAGATCAGCACTCAGAAGATAGAAATTTAGTCCATCTGTTTCTTTTCTTTCTTTGAGATAGGCTGGCCTTGAACTTGAGGGCCTCCTGCCATAGCCTCCCAAGAAGCTGGGATTACAGGTATGTGCCACCATACTCAACTCATGCTTCTTTTTAAGGTGAGAAACTCATATTTTACTAATAATGTATATATAAAGGAAGATGGAAATGGGTGATTCATGTCCTACAGTTTAGCATTTCAGCTGGAAAACCTAAAGAAAATTTTGTATTACAAAAATGAAAGATGTTTTTGGTATAAACACAGAAATTCTGATTTAGACAGAACCTGAGAGATGTAACACAAGTTACTTAGAGGGAGAGAAACTGTAATGGCCACCTTGGCTTGCAAACTCCCTCCTCTTCTCACAAAATCTAGCATCCCTTATGAAATGAAGATCATTTCTAAGAAGCAATCAGTCAAAAATATGTTTTGCCTTTTCCAATCTGCTTCCTTATGACCACAACAAGCAGAACAAGACCTTGTGTTTCCTCTCAGCTCACAGAGGTAGTGGCTGCCTGCTGAGGGCCATTACCAAGTAGGTATGACGCATCGTAATCCTTGCCAGTGTACCCCATGTTAAATGGACTTGCCTTGGAAATTTGCTGCGACCTTGCTTGTGTGTTTGAGAAAGGTGACCCTGCTCAATCACCAGGGTGGATCCAGGATTAGGGTGTATTCCTGCAGGAAGTATCTCCGTCCTTGGGTTTAGGGCGTGACAATAGGAGTTTTAGGGAAGTTGAGGTTGAAGATTATTGATGCTGGGATTGGGGTGTTCCTGCTGCTTGTTCCCGTTGAGTTCTCGTGAGATTCAAATGGGATTTGAAAAAAGCCTCGTGGAGTAGGATTTGGGATCGGACATTTTGGATTGCCCCTGAACGTGTGTGGAGGCTGGTGTGAGATCGGGAATAAAGAATTGCAGTTTGAACCTACAAAGCTGTGTGGTGGCTCGTGATTCTGTGCCAAGCCGAGACATTGGCACTTGGCTTTCGGCAGCTGCCTACCTAAGACCCATTTCCCTAACAGCCTCCTGAACTGCATTCCTTGAAAGAATTAGACCAATGTCCTATGGCACTGTTGTATGTAGTAAATCACCTTCTCCCTTCTTTTTTTTTTTTAGTATTTATTTTTTAGTTGTAGGTGGACACATATCTTTATTTTATTTTTATGTGGTGCTGAGGATCGAACCCAGTGCCTCACGCATGCTAGGCAAGCTCTCTACCATTTAAGCCACATCCCCAGCCCCATACCTTCTCCCTTCTATTTCTAGAATAGTTACTAGCTATACATCATCCTTAGGAGAAATTGAAAAAAAAACAAAAAATCACTGAAGCTATTTCCTATGGAGCTTATTCTCTTGAGCACCCCTGGCTACTAAGGTACTATTTCTTACATGACCCAGACATTAAAGAAACATATGGTAACCAAGCCATTAGTTTGGGAACTAGAATATAATAAACAACTCTTGCTACAAGCAGCTCTAGAACACATGGTCTTACTTTTTTTTTTTAAATTATTATTATTTTTTTAATATTTATTTTTTAGTTCTCGGCAGACACAACATCTTTGTTTGTATGTGGTGCTGAGGATCAAACAGGGCCGCACGCATGCCAGGCGAGCGCGCTACCGCTTGAGCCACATCCCCAGCCCCTTAGTTAACCTTATCTGCTGCCTTTTTTTCCTTTTTTTATAACATTTCATTTCACTAGAAACATGGTTATACACAATTAAGGCTTCATATATTCATAGTAATCTGTTTTAAGTTAGACTAAGAAAATATTGACAGATCCCTAATGGGTTGATTTTTATACAGTCTTGGGAGTTTTGTTCTAATAAATCTACCTTGAAATAACTGATCACTAATAGGGAATATCACTGGTAGGAGAGAAGGGTGAGGAAATAATTTTTTGCTATTGTCATTTTCATTAAAATTTTATCCACTGAGTTGATAGGAAAGAGAAAAAACACTACCTAATTTTTCTTAAAGTTAATGCAAACAGAAAAATTTCTTGGCTATAGGAGATAGATTAGGACATGAATATCAAAGTAACAACAACAGACCCATTTCAAATAAACAATACACAATGGAAGATAGGTTCAGGTGAAGGGGTCATCTTTCCAAATACCCCATACTTTTTATGTGTGAGTGAAGAAGATAATCTTAATTGGAAAGCCGAAGCACAAAATATGCCCTAGAATAGGTGATGAGCATTTCTGTTCATCTGAAATCTTTTTTTCCTCTATTTAGAATACAGAATGAGCAACAGCCCTTCCATTTACTTCTTTAAATTGCTATTCAGCCCACTCTGCTCTTTGGGGAACATATCAAATTTCTAACAATCTCTTGAGCACCACTATAATTTCCACCAATTTTTACTAACTTATTAGACCAATGCCCTCTACTTGAGAGGCTGCAGGCTGCTCTGGCATTTGAAGTAACAATATTCACCCTCTCTTAAAGATGTGACATGATCAGTATCTTTCTATGAACAACAGCAAAACAGCCCTTGGCACGAATAAATAACGTAAGCAAAGAGTAGGGTCTAGAAAGTGGTTCACACACACACTTACTTGCCAAAGCCTTTTTTCCAGCTGCGTGGTAGGCTACAATATATTTCCTCCCTTCTCTATCCTCTGTTTTTGTCTCTAATCCTGGAAACAGAGACTTAATAGCTTGATGGATGATTGTTCTTTTTTCTTTGGTGTCCTCAATAACCTATTAAAAACACAGAGTAACACTACTCCTTTAACAAACATTAAATAAGAAAATAATACAGTGAATTAGTTAAAAACACGGCTCATTAACTATGCAAAATAAGAAAAGGGCCTAAGTACAATTTCAGGAATATTTTAGAGCTCCAAAATATGGCAAATCATAAGGGCCTGCTGATCACATGTGTCCATCTGCCAGGCACTATCCCAAGCTCTTTACATTCACTGTCTTATTTAATCCCATAATCTCACTATCACACCATCATTACATCTATTTCAAGACAAGGAAAATGAGGCTGAGACCTATTATGGAATGTGTCCAAAGCTGTATAGTTGGGAGGGCAGAGAGCTGATGTGAAATTAGGCTACTAGACTCTGGGGCCACTGACCACAGATGCTTCCTATAAGTGTCTTTGCTAGACAAATGCTTTAGGGCCCACAAGTAAATTTGTAGGCAAGTCAGGCCTTTTTGTCCCTTGGACAGTCTAGTCTACAGCTGCCTCAAGTTGAATGTTATTCTATGTGCAATTATTTTATAGTGAGGTTCTAGCACATTGGTTCACAATAAAGAAAATTCTTTATATAAACAAAATGTAAATTTATTACACAACATTTCAGTTTTTGAGGGCATCTCACACTAAGAAACACATTTTAATTTTACTTAATAGCACAAATGGATGTACAGTACAGGACATATTGAAAAAAAAAAAAGCACCAAAAAGTGCCAACATTTTTTTTTTTTGGTACTGAATACAAAGATATTTTCTATTTTATTTATTTCCATTAAAAAATGCTGATTGCACTCAAACTAAAAAGTTTTTTCTCAGCAAAAGAAACAATCTGTGAGGTGAATAGAGAGCCTACATCTTGGGAGCAAATCTTTACCCTCACACATCAGATTGAGCACTGATCTCTAGGGTATATAAAGAATTCAAAAAGCTAAGCACCAAAAAAACAAATAACCCAGTCAATAAATGGGCCAAGGACCTGAACAGACACTTCTCAGAAGATGACATACAATCAATCAACAAACATATGAAAATCTCTCTATCTATCTCTCTAATAAAATCTATCTCTCTCCTCAGTCTATATCCAAAGGCCTTAAAAACAGCATACTACAGAGACACAGCCACATCAATGTTTATAGCAGCACAATTCACAATAGCTAAACTGTGGAACCAACCTAGATGCCCTTCAATAGATGAATGGATTAAAAAAAGTGGCATATATACACAATGGAATATTACTCAGCAATAAAAGAGAATAAAATCATTCCATTTACAGGTAAATGGATGGAGTTAGATAACGCTAAGTTTAGCCAATCTCAAAAAACCAAATGCCAAATGTTTTCTCTGATATAAGGAGGCTGATTCATAATGGGGTAGGGAGGGGGAACATGGGAGGAATAGACAAACTCTGAATAGGGCAGAGGGATGGGAGGGAAGGGAGGGAGCATGGGTTAGAAATGATGGTGGAATGTGAAGGACTTTATTATCCAAAGTACATATATGAAGACATGAATTGGTGTGAATATACTTTGTCTACAACCAGAGATATGAAAAAATTGTGCTCTATATGTGTAATAAGAATTGTAATGCATTTCACTGTCATATATAAATATAAAAAATTAATTAAAAAAATGGTGATTGTAAAGCAGGGCTTGGTGAAGCACGCTTATAATCCTAATGGCTCGGGAGGCTGAGGCTGAGATAGGAGGATCATGAGTTCAAAACCAGCCTCAGCAACAGTGAAGCACTAAAGCAACTCAGTGAGACCCTGTCTCTAAATAAAATACAATATAGGGCTGGGGACATGGCTTAGTGGTATAGAGTCCTTGAGTTCAATCCCTGGTATCCCCCCACAAAAAAATGTTGATCGCGAGACATACTAACTTGATTTCATGACCAGCTGATCATCTGCAATCTATAAGACAAAAAGACTACAACTGCTACTGACTAAACTTGACAATGCTTTACAAAAAACAAACTGGTTGGGCTCAGTAGCGCATGCCTGTAATTTCAGCTACTTGAGAGGTCGAAGCAGGAAGATTGTGAATTCAAGACCAGTGTGGGCAACTTAGCATGATGAAAATAAAAGATAAAATGTCTCAAATAAAAAAAGTGCCCGGAACATGGTTCTGTGGTAGAATGGTTGCCTAGTATGCATGAGGGCCTGGGTTCAATCTCTAGTACTGCAAACAACAACAGTCTAATTATAGATCAATGAGTTTTCATATCAATAAGTGAGTCTAGATCTGAAACTCTAATAGCAATAAGTTGGAATCATAGTTTGTGATTGTGAATTCATATTTAGACCTCAAAAATTCAGTCTTTCCTCTTCATTTTAGTTGGATTTTTTAAAATACATTTTTTGTAGTCGTAGATGGACAGAATGCCTTTATTTTATTTGTTTATTTTTATGTGGTTCTGAGGATTGGACTCAGTGCCCTACACATGGTAGGCAATTGCTCTGCCACTGAGCTACAGCCCCAGCCTGGATTTTTTTTTTTTTGTACTGGGAGCTGAACCCAGGGTGCTTTCACATCCCTAGCCCTCCACCTCCCCCGTTTTTTTTTTTTTTTTTTTTTTTTTGGTGCTGGGTATTGAACTCAGGGGCACTCAACTATTGAGCCACATCCTCAGCACTACTTTGTATTTTATTGAGAAACAGGGTCTCACTGAGTTGCTTAGCGCCTCACTTTTGCTGAGGCTGGCTTTGAACTTGCAATCCTCCTGCCTCAGCTCCCCAAGCAGTGGGGATTACAGGTGTGCGCTATGGCACCTGGCTTTCATTTTCATTTTAGAGATAAGAAAACTTGCCTAAAATTTATGCCCTTTAAAAGTTAAAATTTAGCAGACTGCAAAAACATAGTTTTTTAAATGAGAATTAATTTTGTCATATGTGCAGAAAAATGAGTATTATGAAGCTGATACACCACTGTATTATACAAGTAAGGGAAACGTGGAATATCCTCCTGGATTGTTCTTAAAACCTATTCTAGGGTTGGGGATGCCACTCAACATAGAGTACTAGCAAATATGAGGCCCTTGATTCCCAGAAACATAAAAACTAAAAACCTGTTCCTAGGAATTCTATGTGGGATTGCCAAGGATGTTGTCTATGGGTAAATTCAGTAATTGGAAATCCCGAAGTTATAATATCACATACTCTTAGGAATTTTGGTGGGGAGGGACAGGAAAGGTGAGTGTTGGAATTAGATTATGACATGTGAAAAGTTGCAGTAAACTCTTACTAATTGGAAGTGATGGGAGGGGGAATTTCAAACACCCCATATCCAGCAGGTCAATAAAGGGAAAAAAGAAAGGACAGCATCTCTATAATTTTAAAAATATTGATTATATAATGAAATAATATTTTGAATATAATAGGGTAAATTAAATATACCCTTACAGTAAAGACTTCACTTTTTCTTACTTTAAAAAAAGATGTGGCAACTTGGAAAATTTTAAATTAAAAATATGGGGACTGGGATTATAGCTTAATGGTAGAGCACCTGTGAGGTCCTGGCTTTGATCTCCAGTACCACAAAACAACAAAACAAACCAAAAAACTGGCATCATGATTCCACCGGATAGCACTAACTTAGGAGAATAAAATTTCCATAAGAAAAAATGCTTTTAAAATGGCATTTACTGGGCTGGGGATGTGGCTCAAGCAGTAGCACGCAGTAGCACGTGCGGCCCGGGTTCGATCCTCAGCACCACATGCAGACGAGGATGTTGTGTCTGTCAATAACTAAAAATTAAATATTAAAAAATTCTCTCTCTCTCCTCTCTCACTCTATCTTTAAAAAAAAAAAAGAAAAGAAAAGAAACATTTCTTGGGCTGGGATTGTGGCTCAGCAGTAGAGTGCTCATCTCCCATGTATGAGGCCCTGGGATGGGTCCTCAGCACCACATAAAAATAAATAAATAAAATAAAGGTATTGTGTCCAATTACAACTAAAAAATAAATATTTAAAAAAATAAATAAATAAAATAAAATAAAATAAAATGGCATTTACTGGGCTGGGAATGTGGCTCAGTGGTAGAGGGCTTACCTCGCATGTGCGAGACCCTGGATTCGATGCTCAGCACCACATWAAAAAAAAAAAATAAATGAGTGAAATAGAGGTGTTGTGTCTAACTAAAAATAAATAAAATAAAATGGCATTTACTATTCTATTTAGTAGCTGAACTTTCTTTTTCTCAAATAGCAGAAGCAGACATGGGCTGAAGAAAGTGTGCTCTTACCTCCTTCACCCAGTTACTCCCTCCCCATTTGGAGACCAAGAAGCTGCTGAAGCTAGAGCCACCACAGGGGTGGGTGAGAAGCCCTGTTGCAGCAATATAGCTGTCATTTTCTGGTTCTAAGTAACAGATTTCTTTGTGATTTGTGTTCATATTTTTTTTAACAAAAAGATAACTTTTTTTTTTGCGCTATAGTTTATAGCATAATTTAACCCTGAAAAACTATTTATTAGTATAAATGCCCTTTTACATCAAATAGGGCAAGGTCACCCATTTTTAAACATTGTATTGTTTTTCAATTGATGCTTATTAATATCTACCTCAAATATTGAAGCAACCAAAAACCCTTATAACTTTTGCAAGTGTTTCTGTACTACTTACCTCAATGGCAACACTGGTTTCCTTATTTTTAAAAAGCTGGAACTCTTCCAGTTGCTGCTTTTCTTCAGCTGTCAAAACTGTAAATACATCTTCTGAAGGATCCTCCTCATCCACTGGAATAGACAAGTCATCCAAATGGCTGATCTGTCCATCTTTTCCGATTTCATGAACAACAAAGTCGGAGTATCTGATAAAAGATAACACAAATTTTCAAAGACTTAACATTTTAGTTCTTACAATTTTAGAATAAATTTTATAAACAGCAAGTCTTACTACTGTGTAAAAGGGATTAAAAAAAAAAAACAAAAAAAACTTCAGGGGCTGGAGTTGTGGCTTAGTGGTAGAGTGTGGCCTAACATGTGAGGCACTAGATTCAATCCGCCGCACCACATGAAAATGAACAAATAAAATAATGGTATTGTGTCTACCTACAACTACAAAACAAAAACAAAAAACAAAACTTTAGTGTAAAGTTATAGGAAGTTTTGAAATTTGGGGGATTTTTTTTTTTTTTGTAGTCTGGGAATTAAATTCAGGGGTGCTTTGCCTCTAAGTTATACCCCCAATCTTTTAAAATTTTGAGACACAGTCTCAATAAATTGCCTGGACTGGCCTCAAACTTATGATCCTCCTGCTTCAGCATTGAGTTGCTGGGATACTGAATGTTAAATCACATCGTGCCTTAGGTTTTATCAGAAGCTTCTAGAATATTCTTCCAGAGCAAAATACTGAGAAATGTATAAACAAAAGCTTATTAATGTTAACCTGTGATTTTACAGACAGATCATACTTAACCGAATCATAAAATAAAATGAATGGTTAATTAAATCAGAAGTCAGTAAGTCACCTGGGCAGTGGCACATGCCTGTAAGGCTGAGGCAGGAGGATTTCGAATCCCAAGCTTGCCTCAGCAACTTAGCATAGCTCTAAGCAACTCAGTGAGACCCTGTCTCTAAAATACAAAAAAGGGGTGGGGATGTGGCTCAGTGGTTAAGCACCCCTGGGTTCAACCTGGGACCCTACCCCAAAAAGTAAAAGTCAATAAGTTTACTGGTAAGCCACCCAACATTATCTCTTATGATAAATATCTTACATCTATTATTTATGATCCTCTCAACAACTCCATGGTATCATGATCTGTTTTTTGGAGGATATTGAGGTTAGGGGACTTAAGTATCTATTAAATGGCTGAGGTAGATTCACAACCAGATCCATCTGCTTCCAAATACTGATTTCTTTCTTTCTTTCTTTCTTTTTTTGTTATATTTTTTAGCTTTATGTGGACACAATATCTTTATTTTATTTTTATGTGGTGCTGAGGATCGAACCCAGTGCCTCACGCATGCCAGGCGAGCGCACTACTAACTGAGCCATATCCCCAGCCCCAAGACTGCCTTCTTTCTACGCAGATGTGGTATATTCAGGTGAAAGTGTTTTAAGATTATAAATCAAATTCAAGGGAAAACATGAAATCTTTTAAAACAATTTAACAGGGCTGGGGATGTGGCTCAAGCGGTAGCGCGCTCGCCTGGCATGCGTGCGGCCCGGGTTCGATCCTCAGCACCACATACCAACAAAGATGTTGTGTCCGCCGAGAACTAAAAAATAAATATTAAAAAAAAATTCTCTCTCTCCTCTCTCACTCTCTCTTAAAAAAAAAAAAAAATTTTTAAAAAAAACAATTTAACAAAGTGAACAGCATCTATCCACTGATTAAAAGTGCATATCACTGGGGGAATTACTTATCTTTATTCCAAGAATTCTGGGAAGGATCTTCCTTTGACAAGAATACACCAAGATTTCTCTTTAAATATTAATATTTTAAATATTAGAAAATTCAAGACTATTTACTCATTTAGGAAGCTCTCCTTCATTCTATTCTTTTTTTGACCATAAGCATAAATAATCTTTGGTGTCAGAAAGCTAAGTGGAAGATCATATATATTATTCATTTCTTTCTAAATTAAAAATAACTATACATAAACTAACCATACCTTTCTTTTAAAATTCCCGAGAATCCTTGATGAGAACTTACAAACTTGGTGATGCCTACAATCAAGTTCAGTAAGTCCATGTTTCATCATGTCTGCAAAACTCTCTGCTTCCTCTTCCTCCTCCCCCTCCTCTGAAAGGCCATCTTCCTCCTCTTCTTCCTCTTCCTCCAACTGATCATCAGAAGTCATTTTGCCTCTCTTGGCACTTACAGGTTCTGGTGGCCCAGGCACATTTTCTCAGTTGGGTTAGCCATCATTCTGCAGCCCACCTTGTCTTTTGGTCAGACAGCATTCAGAGACCTTCTGTTTTTTTGTCTCTTCAGCTGGGGCCGCACTGTCATCATCTTCCATAGCAAGGCACCCACGTTTCAGAGACATGCCAGTCATTTCTGTCATTTCCATCTTTAARGCTCCAAGAAAACATTTAAGAGAACCTTTCAGGAAGGAGAAAAGAGTAGAAATTAACAATCACCTATAAAGTTATTTCAGTATACACGTAGTCAACTTTGTTCACAGATCTAAAAACTCATTTATTAAAATAATTTTTCTTGATGTTGGCATATATTTTTGGAGAAATAGAAAACAAGCACATTACTTCTATGCAGAGTCTGACTGTGTGCATCAAAAACCTTAAAAATATATATGTGATCCAGAAAAAATATATGTATATTTTTTTGGCAGTACTGGGAATTGAATGCAGGGCCTCACACATGCCAGGCAAGCATTCAATCACTGTGCTACAGTCCCACCTTTTTTATTTTTTACTTTGAGACAGTTTTCTAGGCTAGTTTTGCTCCCTGCCTCAGCCTCCCAAGTAGCAAGGATCAAGTGTATACCACAATGCCTGAACTAAAATAGTTCTTTGCAAAATTTATCTTTTTTAAATATATTGTTTTAGTTATTGATGGACCTTTTTTAGAAAAATATTTATTTGTTAATGGACCTTTATTTTTGTTATTTATTTGTATGTGGTGCTGGGAATTGAACTCAGTGCCTCATACATACTTAGGCAAACACTCTATTGCTGAGCTATAACCTCAACCCATGAAGGATTTATCTTAAAATAATTAAGAAAGTGCTTAAAGTTTTAGCCATACAGATTCTCATTTCAGTGCTTTTATATTAACAAAAAATGAAGAACAGTGAAGCCTGGGTACATAAATTAAACAATAAGTTAACAACTGACTAGAAACTGGGGAAGGTGATTACTCCTGGGACAGAATCTAGTTAGATGGGGACAATAGTGTGAAACTTGCTGCTTTTACTGAATACCATTTTGTTTGTGGCATTTTGTTTCAATTGTTTCAAACACATGTATTATCCTTTCAAAAACTGATGAAATAGTGTATTTAAAACAGTATAAAATGCATTTATTGATGAAAGTATACTCATGCCATACCACATTTAATAATAAGGGAAATGGGCTACAGTTGTATAAATGGGCAAAGAGTTTTATTTTACAAGATAAAAAGAGTTCTAGATATCAATCGGAAAATAATGTGAACATATTAACACTATTGAACTGTATTCTTAAGAATGGTAAAGGTGTGGGAGTCAGCAGGGTGGTGCATGCCTGTAATCCCAGCAGCTTGGGAGGCTGAGACAGGAGGATCACGAGTTCAAAGTCAGTCTCAGCGAATGTGAGACGCTAAGCAATTCAATGAGACCCTGTCTAATAAAATACAAAATTGGGCTGGGGATGTGGCTCAGTGGTTGAATGCCCCTGAGTTCAATCCCTAGTACCTCCCCCAAAAAAGTATATAGCATCAATGATTATAAATCATTTAATATCTGTTTTGCTAAATTCAATTATGGTCCTAGAAACTGAGAACATATTTTCTAGAACAGTTGTGCAAACTTCTGGATTAGAAGAACTCAAATGAATGTCATTTTCATAAGCAGAAACTATTATAAATGAAAAAAAAAACTAAAATGGGATAAATTTTTAAATTAGGGGGGAGTCATGGAGGAGAGAGGTGATCTTGTGAACAAGGAAGAGACCCAAAAGAATTCAACCAGAAATACTGAACCCTGACTGTACCAAGGTAAGAGACCTAAGGAAATCAATTAGCCACACTCAGGAAAAATCCCAAGATTTTCAACCTTGCAGATGTAAAGTGATTGACTTAAAAAACAAAGAGGGGGGCTTTATAATATACCCCCCTTAGGGGATTAAATCCTGGGTCTATGGCAAGCTCTCTACACTGAGCTATATCCCCAGTCCTTTTTATTTTGGAATAAGTTCTTATCAAGTTGCCCAGGCTGGTCTTGAAGTTCCAATCCTGTCTCTCAGACCCACAAGTAGCAGGGATTACAGGGGTATGCCACCATATGTGGCATAATAATATCTTAAACTCTTAATAAAATCTCTACAGACCAGAAGACTGATACTACAACCAGGAAGATGCTGATCCACTGATACTTTCCCATAAACTTAAAGTTTTACACATTTTTTTTGTTTTTCAGAAAATTCTAAAATGGAGGCTGGGAGTGTGGCTTAGCGGTAGAGTGAGTGAGGCCCAGGGTTCGTCAGCACCACATGAAAATAAAGGCATTGTGTTGTGTCCATCTACATTTAAAAAATAAATATAAAAAAAAAAGAAAATTCTAAAATGTTTCTCTTTTACTGTAAATGAGCCAAATGAGAATGTAAGTATTGCAATTTTGTGGGTACAGTGGTACATAACTGTAATACCAGCAGTTGGAGGGGGGCTGAAGCAGAGGATCACAAGTTTGAGGCCAGCCTCAGCAACTTAGCAAGGCCCCAAGCAATTTAGTAAGACCCTGTCTTTAAATGAAAAATAAAAATGGCTTGGGATGTTGCTTAGTGGTAAAGTGCCTCTGGGTTCAATCTCCAGTAACCTCCTCCCCCCAAATAAAAGTATTATAATTTTACCAGTATTTTAATTTAAAAAATCCATACAAATATTAGATTCACCAATTAAATTTTCAACATCTTCTACATCAAAAATCAAGTTCAGGGCTGGGATTGTGGCTCAGTGGTAGAGTGCTCTCCTAGCACCTGCAGGGCCCTGGGTTCGATCCTCAGCACCACATAAAAAAATAAATAAAATAAAATAAATAAAATAAAATGTAGTTGTGTCCAACTACAACTAAAAAATAAATATTTGAAAAAAAAATCAAGTTCAGCATTTTCCAATTTTTAATACAACACTGACAAAAGTCCTTTAACATTATTTCTTCCAAAGTGAACATCTGAAAAAGAGTTATACAAGTCTGAATCCTATTTCAAAATCCTCACAACTTCCATTTTTTAAATGCACCTATCCTCTATCCCCTGCAAATTGTCTTTCTAGATTTTACAAGGAGGAACACTTTTTAAGACAGTGCATAAACTACATCTTAATACGCAAAATTGTTAAGTCTACCAAAAGTATTTATTCTACTGATAATTTATTGAGTACATTCTAATGTATAGGATGTACTATGGTAGGCACTTGAGAAAAATTAAAAAATTTCCTGCCCTTGACGAGCTTACATTCTATTTGAGGACATTAAATTACAAAATAAAAATTAATCTCAGAACAAACAAGCCACAGGGCTGGGGTTGTAGCTCAGTGGTAGAGCACTTGCCTTGCATGTGTGAAGTACTGGGTTCGATTCTCAGCACTGCATATAAATAAATAATAAAGGTCAATCAACAACTAAAAAATTTTTTTAAAAAGAACAAACAAGTCACAAATTAAAAAAAAAAAGCAAAGCATAGGGACAGAGACTAAAAGGGGTGGTCTTTGGTGAAGTCTAAGAGGGTGAACTTTGGGTAAAGGACTTGAAAGAAAGAGTAGACATGAAAAGATTTTTGTGAGGGTTTTAGGCAGCTGAGTCAATATCTGTTAAGGACCTGAGGCAGGAGCAAACTTAGGTACAGGAAATATAAGCAGGACTGTTAGTTCTTTCCTCCTTGGGGGAAAAGCTGAGTTTCATTAATACCATATAGTCCCATCATTTAAAAAAAGATGTGTTCAGGCTTGATTGGTTGCAAGGGTCAGTAACATCAGACACTTGGGAGGCTGAGGCAGGAGGATGGCACATTTAAAGCCCCCCTGGATAACTTAGGGAGATCCTGTCTCAAAATAAAATTTAAAAACAGGACTAGGGATGTAGCTCAATGGTAGAGTACAGGCTCTGGGGTTCAATCCCCAGAACTGGAAAAATGTTTAAAAAGCCAATCCCAAAAAACCAAGGGCCACATGTTTTCTTTGATATGCGGATGGTATTTCATAATGGAAGGGGGGGAACTAGGGAAGAATAGTTACTTTAGATTAAGGAGAGGGGAGTGAAGAAAGGGGAGAGAGTATGGGAGTAGGAAGGACAATAGAATGAATCAGACATTACCCTATGTACATATATAACTATATGATCGGTGGGATTCTACAATCATGTACAACCAGAAGAATGAGAAATTATACTCCATTTATATATGATGTATCAAAGTGTATTCTACTGTCATGTATAACTAATTAAAACAAATAAAAGTTTGTTTAAAAAGACTTGTTCAAAAATTAATTAATTCAGGGGCTGGGATTTTGGCTCAGTGGTAGAGAGCTCACCTAGCAAGCGTGAGGCACTGGGTTCGGTCCTCAGCACCACAAAGAAAAATAAATAAGGGTATTGTGTCCATCTAAAACTGAAAGAATTCTTTTTAAAAATTAACTAATTCAGGGCTGGGGTTGTAGCTCAGTGGTAGAGTACTCGCCTAGCATGCATGAGGCACTGGGTTCGATCCTCAGCATCACATAAATGTAAAATAAAGATATTGTGTCTACCTAAAACTAAAAAATAAATATTTTTTTAAAAATTAACTAATTCAGACGTTTGACTATTTTCTAATGACTGAACATGAATGACCACCCATCCCTTTTCTATACTGGTGTTCAGTGCGATTTTTTTTTATTTATTTTTTTTTTAAGAGAGAGTAAGAGAGGAGAGAGAGAGAGAGTTTTTAATATTTATTTATTTTTTAGTTCTCGGCGGACACAACATCTTTGTTGGTATGTGGTGCTGAGGATCGAACCCGGGCCGCACGCATGCCAGGCGAGCGCGCTACCGCTTGAGCCACATCCCCAGCCCCCAGTGCGATTTTTTTGAGAGATCCCTCAATAGTCAAGACACTCCCCCCCCCCCCCGCCTCCCCGCAGTGGGGCATACTATTTCACACACGAATACAGAGGATCTCAGTAACCCTGTGTTTTCGGAATGGAAAAAAAAAAAAAAGTGGCCAGATATTTGAAAAACTAAGCTCCCTCCAGCCCTTCTTTTTGGCAATGACGATGTACTTTTGAACCCCTCAGTGCAGGACTGGCGGTAAGGACTCTGGGCTAAGTTTCAGTCTGCCTGACAGCACTTCCCTCCACTCACTGAAGAGACGCTGAGCAGGGGGCTGGAGAAAACACTCCTAGCCCGACCGCGCTCGGGAAATGCAGACAGATCGAGTACTCCCCGAATGCCCGCCCGGCATTTAGTGGGCTTAAAACCACGCTGAGGTGTGAATACAGGGACGAAAGCACGTGGGCTGGACCTGTAGAAGCTTGGCCAGGCGATGTGAGGAGCTGTGCCGGCTTTCGCGAAGAGGCCGGTTTTCCCACCGGAGGAAGAACAGTTTAGGGAGTGTTCTGGGCAAGGCAAAGAAAGGGGAGGAGTGGGAAGAGGACCCGCAGGCTAACTGAGCCGCGGCGGGAGGAAAGAGAACGCGCGCGGCGCCCAGACGACTGGCGGGGCCGCTGGGAGCAAGAGGCCGGCGGTCGGGAGCAGCGCCCGTGGGCCCGAGCGCAGAACCCGCTGGGCTCCAGCCGCGCTCCCGCGAGCTCGCCCTTTAATGCAGGCGCTGCGAGCTGAGAACACGGCGGGCCGCCTTCTCAGCCCGCACTGCCTCTCCAGGCGAGGTCGTGGTGCCGGGCCGAGGGCTGGCCGCTGAGCCCAGGCGGGAAGGCCGCGCACTTACCTGGAGCCTGGGAGCGCGGGCGCGGTGCGGGCCGAGAGGAGACGAGGCCGGCGCTCCTCTTCGGGCACAGGAGGGCGGTGGCTGCGAGGGTCACTCGGAGAAGGCAGTGGCAAGGGCAGATCAGCATGTGCAGCAAGGTCCGCGCCGGGTAGGAGGCGCGCGGGAGGACTCACCGGAGGCCGGGCTCGCACACCCGCGGCACAGCGTCGCTCCGCGGACCGCCGGCCCCTCCCCCGGGTTGGAGCCTGAGCCCTGCCCCTCCCCGGGAGGCCCCGCCCACCCGGAGCTGGCGGCGCAGGCAAAGGAACTCGCGGGCGCATGGCAGCCAACTCTCAGCCCTTTGACCTGCTGAGTCTCTCCTGCTTGGTACGCGGGTGTGGCGCTGGAGAAAAAAGGGGCTTTTATAATGCACCAAAGAGCACTTTAGATCTTTAGGACGTCTAAAATGGAGTTTGCCTTATTCATTGTTAGTTGTATTCTAATACCATTTTATTCCACATAGTTGTCGCTCTTTCTTGTTACACTTGGTCAAGGAGATTACACATAATGAAGACCTTCACTCTAGGGACTCTTTGTTCTATGGGTCCCTCGAATGTTGCGGATCCAAGAAGGCCATTTCCCCACTTTTTACCCTGACTGCTTCCCATAGGATCCGCTTCAAGAAATCTGATGGTAGCTAGTTTATGCTTCTGTTTATTTTTATTTTTTGATACTGCGGATTGAATCCAGGGGCGCTGTATCATTGAGTAGGGATAACTCATTGTTTTGACTTGCAAGCAGCAAGTGTTGGTGAGGTTGTGGAGCAACAGGAAATCTCATTCATTGCTGATGGTTCTGCCACTCTGGAAGACAGTTTGACAGTTTCTTGCAAAACTAAATATGTTGTTACCAGTAATTTTTCTTCGGGTTATTTATCCAAAGGAGTTGGACACTTAGGCACACAAAAATCTGCACGTGGATATTTATAATTGCCAAAACTTGGAACCAAGATATTCTCCATTAGGTGAATGGATAAACTGTGGTGTATACATACCGTGGAATATTATTTAGTATTAAGAATAAATGAGGGCTGGGGTTGTGGCTCAGCGGAGGAGTGCTTGTCTAGTACGTGAAGGGCCCTGGGTTCAAACCTCAGCACCACATAAAAATAAATAAATAAATAAAGGTAGTTTGTCCAACTACAAATAAAAACTAAAATATTAAAAAAGAAATAAAAAATAAATGAGCCGAGCACGGTGGCGCTCGCCTGTAATCCCAGCAGCTGGGAGACAAAGGCAGGAGGATTGCGAGTTCAAAGCCAGCCTCAGAAATTTAGCAAGGTTCTAAGCAACTCAGTGAGACCCTGTCTCTAATAAAATACAAAATTAGGGCTGGGGATGTGGCTCAGTGGTCGAGTGCCCTTGAGTTCAATCCCTGGTACCAAATAAATAAATAAATGAGGGGGGCTGGAATTGGGCTCAGTGGCAGAGCACCTGCCTAGTATGTGTGAGGCTCTGGGTTCGAGTCTCAGCACCACGTATTAGTAAATAAAATAAAATTCCATTGACAACTAAAAATCTATTTTTTAAAATTAAATGTGGCTGGGTTGTAGCTTAGTGGTAGAGCACTTGCCTCACACACATGAGGCACTGGATTTGATCCTCAGCACCACATAAAAATAAATAAACATAACAAAAAAAATTTTTAAGTATTTTTTAAATAAATAAATAAATAAATAAATGAGGGGCTGGGGTCATGGTTCATTGGTAGAGCACTTGCCTAGCACATGTGAGTTCTGAGTTCTATTATCAGCACCGCATATAAATAAATGAATAAAATAAAGGTCCATCAACGTAAAAAAAAATGTTTAAGGGCTGGAGATGTGGCTCAAGCGGTAGCGCGCTTGCCATGCGTGGGGGCGGCCCTGGTTTGATCCTCAGCACCACATACAAAGATGTTGTGTTTGCCAATAACTAAAAAATAAATATTAAAAAAATTTCCTCTCTCACTCTCTCTTTAAAAAAATGTTTTATTAACTGATTTTTGTTTTTAAAGTGATGGTGCTTTTACTAGGAAATTTTTAAATCACAATGTCTTTCAGTGGTGAAGTACTTGTCCGCCAAAAACTTAAAAAAAATAAATATTAAAAATTCTCTCTCTCTCTCTCTTTCTAAAAAAAAATGTTTAAAAAATAAAAAATTTAATAATCCAGGCCAATGGCGCCTGCCTGTAATCCCAGCAGCTCAGGAGGCCGAGGAAGGAGGATCATGAGTTGGAAGGCAGCCTCAGCAAAAGCACAGTGCTAAGCAACTCAGTGAGACCCTGTCAAAATAAAATACAAAAAAATGGTTGAGGATGTGGCTCAGTGTTAAGTGCCCCTGAGTTCAAACCCGGCCACCCCATACCACTAAAAAAAAAAGCTAGCAAATCATGAATGAAAAGACATGGAGAAACCACCTATGCATAGGACTAATTGAAAGAAACCAATCTGAAGAGGCCACATACTGCATGATTCCAACCATAGGACATTCTAAGAAAGAAAACTATGGAGTCAGTAATTAAAAAAAAAAAAAAAAGTGTTTGCCTGGTTTAGGATGCATGAACATGCAGAACACAGAGAATTTTTGTTTTGTTTTGTTTGGGTCTCAGGGATTGAACTCAGGGGCACTTGATCACTGAGCCATATCCCCAGCCCTATTTTGTATTTCATTTAGAGACAGGGTCTCACTGAGTTGCTTAGCACCTCGCTTTTTGCTGAGGCTAGCCTTGAACTCTTGGTCCTCCTGTCTCAGCCTTTCCAGTTTCCGTAATTACAGGCATGCACCACTGTACCTGAACACAGAGAATTTTTAGGATGATGAAAACACTCTATCATAACATAATGATGGATATATGTCATTGTACATTTGTTAGAACTCATAGAACCTACAACACCAAGTGGACCCTAATGTGAACTATGGACTCTGGGTGATAATTATGTATTAATGTAAACTGATCAATTGTAACAAAGGTACCACTTTGGTGAGGGCTGTGGATGGTGGAGGAAGCTATGCATGTGTCAGGGAAGGAGATATATGGGAAATTTCTGCAACTAATTATCAATTGTGCTATAAACTAAAAACTGATCTAAAAATATGAAATTTTTCTAAAAATTTCTGAGATTGTGTGCAAACTCCTCACAAATGTGTTTAGGGGAAAGACCTTTCATATTTCTTTGGCTATTGGCTGGGTCCATGGTTAAAACTTAAAATTTTTTTGCATTTTAGCCAAACCTGACTTACATAGGGTCCAAGTGAAATGTGCATCTTTAATTTTCTGTTTTCCAAAATGGGTGACTCCATTGGCTTTTATGGTTAAAATAATTCAGAAGCATTCAAAGTCTCTCCCCTACTCTAACACACTTTACTAATCATTTAACAGTTAAATGTTCTCAACTTTAAAACTTCGTTTATATTATATACAATATTGAGTATATTGCTCTTAACTCTACACCAGCAGTATATGCATTCCTAAGTGCCTATCATACACGATATATCTTCTTTCAATCTATGATTGCCTAGTATTCTGTCCATCTTAGACGTCTTTCTCCAAACCTCAGATAGCAATTAATCTTTCTCTGCACTCCCTCATTCATTACAAACCTTTCTTTTGTTAAGCTTTATACTCAATCCTAACTTATTTGTTTCCATGTCTATGATTTTTTTCAGAGGCAAAATTTTGAGTTCAGGAAAGTGTCTTTTCTCCTTTGATTCAATCTTTAAATTTTTATCAGACTTATGCATGTCTGTGATTAAGAGGCAAATAATTCTATAGAATGAAACAGCAAAACCTGTATCCTTATCCCTCCCCTCTTCTTACTTGTATCCACCTTCTCAAAGGCAGTCATTTTTCTTCTTTTAACTGATTATTTATCTCCATCTCTATATAACATGCTTGTATTACTATGTTTTAATTTTTCACTTTTATGCATTATCTATTGATAATGGCCCAAAAGCCTTAGTTTTCCTTCCTTCTCATTTCTCCACTATACTTCTTCTTTTTTTTTTAAGAGAGAGAGAGAGAGAGAGAGAGAGAGAATTTTAATATTTATTTTTTAGTTATCGGCAGACACAACATCTTTGTTTGTATGTGGTGCTGAGGATCGAACCCGGGCCGCACGCATGCCAGGCGAGCACGCTACCGCTTAAGCCACATCCCCAGCCCTCTCCACTATACTTCTCATCCCTCCATTTGCTCAATATAGTTATATTATGCTTTCTTTAGATTGTGTTTACTTCATTATAATGATGAAACTATCACTCTCATCTTGGGCAAGTAGGAAACTATACTTACTTCTCTTTCTCCTGCATAGGCTTCTGTTTTTGCTGTAGTTAATATTCTCTTGGTTTATTTTTTATTACTAAGCCAACCCCCAATTCCTTAATGATTGTTTAAATTTCCCTCTCCAGATGTTTGATTAGGTGAGGTATTCTATCAGTTTCATCTATCTGGAGGAGCTTCTTCTGGAGCCTTCTGACCTGCAAAAATCCATGCCTAGTACACACTTGTTGACAGGAAATCTCACTTCATTTCCCTGTTTCCTACATCTATGTGCTATGGTTTGAATGTTTCAACCAAAACTCATGTTAACATTTAATCCCTATTTGTGAGGTATTAAGAGGTGAGACCAGAGCTGTAGATGTAACTCAGTGGTAGAGAGCTTGCCTAGCATGCAAGAGGCTCTGAATTTGACCCATGGGACCTCAAAAGGGTGAGGGGGGGTGGGAGAAGGTGGGACCAGGAAGGCCTTTGAAAGAGTGGATCTGTGAATAAAGGTCATCTTGTTCTGGCTCTTAGATCTGAGCTGCTTTTACCATCATGTTATGCTCTGTGCTGCCTTGGGACTTTGGCAGAGTCTACACCAGCAAGTCCTTTACCAGATGCTACCCCTTAATCTTGGACTGCTCAGTCTCAGTAACTGTGAGTTGAATGAAACCTTTCTTCCTTTTTTTTTAAAAAAAAAAAATTAGTTATAGATGGACACAATATCTTTATTTTATTTTTATGCGGTGCTGAGGATCGAACCCAGTACCTCACACGTACTGGGTGAGCACTCTACCCACCGAGCCACAACCCAAGCCTCCAAACCTTTATTCTTTATAAAATATCCAGTCTGTGGTATTATAGAAACAGAAAACAGACTAAGACACTATGTCTTTTCTCATTGATTACTTTCTCATTTTAGGGGAACATAACCTTCAGTAGTTTC